GTTTCAGTCCTGTTACTTTTGGCGGATAGTGTATTAGTAATCTGAATATTTGATGCCATTCATGGAGTAATGATAGTGGACAGAAAAATTTGGGTTTATGAACTATAGTAGCAGCATGGTCATCATGTCAGTCTCAAGATGTCAACATATGCAATTCTAATGGTATGTAAGTGAAATCTAAAAATCCTACCAGTGAGATTTTTTCATATAATTTGTTAAATTCTTTGTAAACATGCAACATGAAACAAAAACCAGTAGCTCTAGCCTAAATGAAGTTCAACTCAGAATATTTCTGAATACCAAGTATTCACCAGCTATTTATTATATTTGATGGAATAGTAAAATACTGAAATGTATAATATATATTTTGTTTAAATTTTTTGTTCATTATGTAGATTGGAGTTACTGTTCAAATAGATATAATTATAAATGGTCATTTAATTTTTTCTATGATAGACCATACCAAGATGCAGTAATTTCTTTAGTGTCACTCATGCTGGACACTCGACTGCCATGTTTCCGTGGTCAGACAATCAAGCTACTCCGCACCCGATTTGCACCTCAAGCCAGTGAAAGAGAGGCTGCTAACTTTATGCTCAAAGTGGTGAGGGACAGTTGCCTCAACTGGCGTGGCAAGACTTATGACATGCTGCAGTATTACCAAAATCAGATTCCGTATTAACTTCAGTCTTGCTGGCGGTGGTGTGTTATAAATATATTAAACTGTGATACTGAGGAAAACAATGCCTGTTATATAAATTTTAATTAATTTGTGAGGCTTAATGTATGAGAAAGTTACGACGTGGATTAAAATAGTTTAAGAGTATAAATAAAATTTAAGAATAAAGTTTATTTCTGTGATGTGTCAGGGTATTACACCAGCATCATTGTCTATTGGATGAATAATGCTTAAAATTTTATTAATCATAATGTGTACTTTAAAACTAGAGTTAAACTGGCAGCTCCAAAATATGTTCAAAGGGCCATAGTAAATCAAAATATAATTCTCAGAATTGACTGTAATTTTGCACTTTTTTTTTCACTATTGATTTCGAAATTTGAAGCACTTTATTTTTAAAAAAAGTTAAATTATTCTTATTAAACGTTTTCCCCCTTTTCATTAAACAACTTATATATTTGATTAGTGTCGCATTTATTTAAGAAAAATCTATACAATTTCTTTGGTGCTGTAAATGTAAAGCAAGAGGGAAAATTAAACTTAAGCAATCTTCAAATTTATAAATGCTTTGTAAATGCATAATTAACTATTACTGTCTTTGTGAAATCTAGTAAATAATTTTAAATAGACTGTGATATAGTAATAATAATATACTCATCTGTGTGCTATTTTGTTTATAGTCAGCTGTGTATGTCGTAAAATACATAGTGTTGTTAAGTCCTTTAAGTTGCTCCTTTTTTTTTTTTTACCTAATTTGAGTCAGATGTTATACAAGTTATGGGTAGGTCTGAATTTTTCCATCATAACAGTTTCTATAAAATTGATAATATTTTATATTTTTTCTTGTAACAGTAAATAAATAAACTGTTATATATTTATTTACAATAGTTTTATTTTGATTGGGTTAATTATTTATTTTTGTCACAATTGTTGCAATTCCTTTTTAATCTATCTATTTTCAATGTTATTAAAATGTCATAATATATATTAAGCAATAATGCACTGTTTTTAATATTTTGAATAATGAACATTATTTATCACTTACCATACTTCGTCATTATTTATTAAAAATGCAGTAAATTTGCTCAGAGCAATAAAATTATATACCGGTACTTTTTATTACTTGAAAATTTAATAAGACCAAGATAATTTTTTGTACTTAATTTTAAAATTTTTATAAAAATGTGAACATCATCTTGTACACTTCGCTAATGTGGATATATCCACAGTTTTAAACTTAAATGAATTATTGTCATACTTGAAACAAGTCCCACCAGCCAAACTATCCTTTATTATGAGTTCTAAGCTAAATTAGACTCTTAATATCACTGATTTTAACTATACCATTTTATTCATAAAATTCAAGCCATTATGGTATTCAGAATGGAGCGCTTAAATTAGATTGTATGGATAAATCCTGACTTTTTAATTATTCAGCTCAGTGTTTTCTAAATCTGAACTTGAAGTAAGCCATAAAGGTTAAATTGCTAGGTTAGTAATGAATTGAAATTTGTTAATAAATATTTCATTTCTTGAAAAGTGTGTTTTACAGAACTCTATTTAATCATTGATTGGCATTGTTTCTTTGTCATATTTTTAATTTATTGGAAGCAAAATTTGACGTTTTTCAATTGTTTTCTTTTGAAAATACATTTCTTTTTGTTTTTGAATTGAAACATTCCCATAAGTCTATTTCAGCTGAAACATGCATAAAATTCTGCTCTTACTCTTTCAAAAGTACAGTGATAAATTATGGTAATATTAGGGATTCTATGGTTTAAATACTAACACAATGCTTTCACATCAACATAGTTAGGTAATTAGTTTTGATTATACTTTTCCCCTACTAGATGTAATATATGTATCTAACTTGATGAATGATACAAATGTTTTTATAAGTTTGAATAACATGTTTGAAACATTTTCTAATCACATGGTTTTCCATTCCGGTTTTAAATAAATATTTGTGCTCTCTTGTAATTGTGTGTGACTTACTATTTTATTGTTGCTTTGGATTGTATTTTATGTCAACTCATTACATAAACAATAATTATTTGTAAATATACAATTAAGGAATAATTTTTAGAAACTATGATCCCTTTAAATATTTAATTTTTTAAAGAATTAATCCTGACATTAATTAAAAGGAATTCCTTTTTAAAATTTATGATTCACAATGCAAGAGATTTTATGTTTAGCTACTAAACTAGAAACAAAAATAAACCTAAATCCTTCAATTTGATTAATTAAATAACCTAAATAAATCTGATAAAATAATTTAATATTAAAAGGCTACATTTTAAAGTAAGAAACAATTAGTAAGGTGTATGCTCAAACATAAACATTAAAAAAAATAAATTATATTTTAATATAAGCCTACAGCTGACACAAGTGAAGAAAAATGCTTAACGCCCACCCTACTACTACTACTACTATTATTACTACTACTACTCAACTAAATTATCTGTGAATAACAAAGACGTATAAGTAACAACACTGTGCACAACATTCAAATTAAATATAACACCCATCTTCTTAAATAAAAGGGGCAGTACTCCTAACAACCAAGATGTCAACTTTTTATTTCCTTATTTTTAGTATTAAAATTTAATTTTTAAATTATCAACAAAAGTATAATTATTATTATTTACATTTTTAAACATTGAATGCTTACAAAATCCAGGTTGAAGTGACTTAACTCTTTACCTAAGCATAAAACTAAAAAAAAAGGTAGATCTGAGCTCACCTGAGTAAAGTGTGTTACTGCAATGCTTGTTTTTTTAAGTTACTTTAGTAGATCGGAAGTTCAGACAATGCCGATGCCATTGTTTGATGGGTTATAGCTAGTTAATAATGTTGAATTTTTTATCGTATCATTGTTTCGCGACATAGTTTTTAAGTCTTGTGACAAATATCTCGTTAAGCTTTTGGTTTTCAGACAAAAGTCTTTTTTAACTTTCGGTTTAGTGTCGTTTCAGCAGAAACTCACATTCAGTTCCCAAAATATTTTTTGAGAGACATAGTTTATAAAAATGGCTCTAACCTAAAAAAAAATTTCCTTACCCCTGCTCATTTTATAAACTAAACCAGTTCAGCCTAACGTACTCCTCAGTTTTTGTATTGTAACCAGAACTAGTTTAAATATATTGTTATGCAGTGGACCTGTGGTTATTTAACTTGTATTTATTTTTTTTAAATTTACCTAATTCCTGCTATTGCAAGGCTATAAAAAAAAGGTATGCTTGTATTTTAATTGTGCAGGTCTATATATACTGAGGGATAGTATGAACATCCATGCAATGATGGAATTAATTAAAAAACACAGGGAAAGTAGCAACGGTTAGTGCCGCCAGGTCAAGCCAAGATAGAATATTTTTGCCGCCACTCCCCATGTGAGACCAACACCATCGACCAACCGGATGTCCTTAGGCTGAGATGGTCCCTGTAGAGCTAGTCAATCGAGTGAAGTGAGGTCTTAGCAGGAGGAGTTTCCAACTTGCTGCTTCGTACCCCGATATTACAGGCTTGAGGGGAGATCATTAAGAGCTTCCTAATCCCATTTCCTAAAGTAAATATTTACAAGCCTGATAAGCCTATGCACACCTCATTAATTAATGAATGTCATGATTATATTTACTCAACCTATGTATTCATCAGTCAAAGAGTTTTATGAATTAAGCTGTAACCATTGTTCTGCCTGATGGTAGAAATAGCAGAGAAGCCAACTTCATTATAGAAGCTGAATATCAGTTGTCAATAGGTGTGCTCATTTTTAACTTTCAATATTTGTGGAAATTTACCAGAAGAAACATATTTTATAGCATTCTGATCTAAGATTAGAAATTAGTGGAACAAATATTTCTATTTCCTATTGTTTCTTTATTTGTCCTGTCTGCTGAGGAAGGTTCTTAGCTGAAACGTTCTTCTTTTATTGTCCTGTCTTTAAATTTCAAGCTTCCGCATACCTTGTTCTGCTATCTCCTTCACACAGCTTGAAAGCAGTCCTTCATTTATTATCCTTTGAGCTCAGTTGACACAGGAATGTCCATGTTTTATAGTTAACATCAACTAGTATGTGTGTACAATCCTTGTAGAGTAAGCTTCTCAAAAATAAAAGCTACTAAAAATTAAAATAATAGGTTTACAAAAGTTCAACCCATTTTAATGATCCTTAAATAAATAATATGCAAACCGTACTGTAAAACGCTTTCATTATAATTAGTTATAATTTGAGGTTCCTTTGTTTTTTTAAACAACATTCATCAAGATATAATGAAAGGAAGGATAATGTATATGTATTTTTTTAGCTGCTGTGAAGTCTTTAGACAAAATTCTGATCGCCAACCGAGGAGAGATCGCATGCAGGGTAATGAGAACAGCCAAAAGGCTTGGCATACGCAGTGTGGCTGTTTACAGTGAAGCTGATCGAAATTCAATGCATGTTGCTATGGTAAGCTTTCACATTTCTTTAGCTACACTACATATAAGAGTGGGCTATGGATACAATTTAATATCTTTTATAATGGAATTAGGCCTTATATGATTTTTGTAAAATAAAATGAGATTTTAATTTACCACGCTTTTTTTTTTCCTCACTAAAATGACAATTTAAGACCTAAAGTGAAATTTAAAAGCTTTAACTTTCCCTTTGACTCGCTGTTGAAATATAAAATTCTCAAAGACTGATTGTCTCCATATATCTGTTAGGCAGATGAAGCATTTCACATAGGACCAGCTGCGGCCTCAGAAAGCTACCTTCGACAAGACAAAATCCTTAATGTTGCCAGGTTATCAGGGGCACAGGTCATTACTGAATTTGTATAAACTCTTAAGATGTTGCTACAAAAACTGTAATGGTGATATTAATTTCAATTTCTTTAATCTTATGCTTTTGGGGCTACAATTAATGTTTAAGTGCTTCAATAAAGATGTGTGAACAATCATTTCGTGAATCAACTATTTATAATTTAAATAAAACATCATATACACTCTGTTATAGAATAATGTATTTGACTTTCCCCAGGCTATTCACTCGGGTTATTTGAATTTCCCCTGGCTATTCACCCAGGTTATTTGACTTTCCCCAGGCTATTCACCCAGGTTATGGTTTCTTGTCTGAAAATGTAGAGTTTGCTCAGACCTGTGAAAGAGAGAATATTGTTTTCATTGGCCCACCTGCCTCAGCTATTCGTGACATGGGAATCAAAAGGTTAGAGAATTAATAAAAAGAATGAAACAAAATACACTCTTATAGGGTTAATTAATTTAAAAGTGTATTTTGGCTGCAGATTAGATTCACTCTTAAGGATGATTTATAAAATTTACTAAACTCACTCTTGAAAAGTTTGGAAATATTTATTTGAAAGTGAATTCCTCTGCAATGTTGTAACATATCATCAACACAAGCTCACTTATGATCATGTTCATCTGATTTTTTCCAGGGTATGAGAATAGCCTTGAATGAATCCGAGTTTGAGAGTCAGCTCGAGTCTGCTAAAACTGAAGCCATAAAATCTTTTGGTGATCAAGTTATGCTCTTAGAAAAGTTTGTGGAAAATCCACGGCAAGTTGCCTTTTTTTTTTAAATTTAATTTTTATATTCAATAAATTGAGACAACATTAAAGGTCAGGCATAATCCTTCAAACAGTTTTGATTTAAATATCAAACATTCATCTGATAAATGGTTATTTGAAGATTATACTAGTTTTTCTCTATTAATTTTCTAAATGCCATGCTTTATTTCTTCTTCAGTAAATGCTGTTCGGCCAATTTAATTAATTAATAATTAATACACAGATTTACAGTGACGAGAATTTTCTTCTTATTTTTGTCATTATTTTGATGATTTGTAGTCATGTGGAAGTACAAGTGTTTGGTGATCGTCATGGCAACTATGTGTATCTGTTTGAGAGAGACTGCAGTGTTCAGAGAAGACATCAAAAAATAATTGAAGAAGCACCAGCAGTAAGTCTCTTGTATATTTTTCAAGATCATATTGCTTTTTCTTAGAAAAATTGTTTGATTATGTAACATCACTGTCTCACAGGTGGTTGAGATTTCATTTGTATGGGATTGGCTTGATCTTTATTAATTTCATGTGAAACTGTGGATCATTTCCAACTTTTATTCAAAGCTTTGACACAGTCCATCTCACTTTGTTGTCTTGATGAAATATAAAGAAAAATTTGACATATGGTTATGGGAATAACTAATGGTAAACATGTCAAGTGTAATCCTATAAGACCGAAGAGTTTATGAAATGCTCATGCATAATTTTTATGCCGGTATACAACCTCTCAGCAAATATTGAAAAACATTATCATGTAGTAGTCCAAACACACTGATGAGAAATTATTCATAGTGTGTTATTCAATTGATAGGCTATTCCCTCTTCTATATTGAAATAAGTTACAAAGATTAAGAGGTGACAATTGTTTCACACTTTTATTGAGAAATGGCAAATATTTCACCTTTATATTCATACAAAAAAAACACCTTCAATGCCCTCATTGATTGAATAATTCTGTATTCCTCTTGTTTCAGCCAGGGCTGACAGAGGAAGTAAGGAGGAGCATTGGTGACGCTGCTGTCAGGGCAGCTAAAGCAGTCAATTATGTTGGTGCAGGTACAACCCACTTGCACTAGTGGTCAATGAGGGTCTTGAAAGTGACTAAATTTAGTCAACCTAAACAAATCATAGCTAAATTTAAAAAAAAATTACTTTAACTATTTACTAGACTATTGACAATCTGTGGTGGCCAAGATACTGTCTAATTATGATTCTTAGCAAAGACTTCAAACATATACCTGATCTAAACATTATAAACCTGATCTAAACGCTATAAAGCTGATCAAAACATTAAATACCTGATATTTTTCCTGACAACAATATAATTTATTAGCTTGTTTTTCTTCTCACACATGTATTTGCCATGGACCTAAAATTGTTTGAATTACTTCACCATTGCAGGCACAGTGGAGTTTATTATGGACAAAAACTTGAAGTTTTACTTTATGGAAATGAATACAAGACTTCAAGTGGAGCACCCGATCACTGAGATGATTACAGGCACAGATCTTGTGGAGTGGCAGCTCAGGGTCAGTTTCAAGTTAATAAAATTGTCCCATGTTTAGACTGCAAAGGACACTGATATAAGATCAATTCAACTTTTTTTAAAAAAAATTTTTTTACATATCATTTCTTTTCTCGCGGTCAGCCTTTGATGTGATTTCCTGCCCTGACTTGTGATAAATGATAATTAGAAACAAACACTCAGTTGAAACAACTAACTCCTCTGACGGATAAGCATCAATAAATTATTGCACTTTCTCCAAAACTCAGTTCTTTGAGAAGACGAATCCATCTGAGTACCCCAGTTCCAGGTCAAGACTTACGCATTGAAACGGGTGTAAGACAAGGTACAATTTATTTTCACTCTACTCAACGAACTGGTATAAGACAAAATACAATTTATTTTCACTTGACACAATGAACTGGTATAAGACAAGGTACGATTTATTTCACTTTACACAATGAACAAATTTTTGTTTATCTCAATCTTAATTTTTTATTTTTTTAAAAAGAATATGAACGTAGTTCGAACTTAAAAGTAAAATTGTTTAATTTTGTTTTGTACCTTTTTAAAAAAAAGATCATGTGGAAAATTTTTTTTAAAATTAACTAAAAATATTAAAAATAGCTGTGTTCAAAGTTTTTTCAGATTCTGCAGGACATGGTAACTCTACATGCCCATATCTTTTCAAAAATTAGTCAGTGAAAATCATTTGTATTAGATACGAGTTCATCATATGTATGAGATATGCTTATTCTCTATCTAAATATTATTAAATCAGTCTTTAGTATGTGATAGAATATTTGGACTTTTTTTTTTTTTTAAATAATTCATTCATCCTTGATCACTTAAGTTTAGGGCCAAAAAAAACAACAAAAAAATAACACTTTCTTCCCATGTCTAAAATTGGCATTTTTAAAATAAAATAAGCATACGTCTGCATCCCAATAACCAACATCCATTTATATGGACTGATTTTTGAATTCTTACATTCCTACAGGCGATGAAGTGTCAATACATTATGATCCCATGATCGCCAAGCTGGTCGTCTGGTCAGATGACCGCCAGTCTGCTCTGAAGCGTACAGTTGCTGCTCTGAGAGATTATCACGTAAGCCAGGGTTAAGTTTCAAAGCAAGTTTCCAACACATTCTTGGAGATTATTTTTCACATAGTGAAATCATTGCTCAACCATGAAATGTGTCGTCAGGTTTAAAATGTTTGGGATATTTTTGTAGCACTTCATGAATGATCTTGTTCAAATAAATCTCTTTCAAAGAATCTCAGCACTTGCATGGCTTTGTCTGCAATTAAAGTTTAGCATCATGCAAATTGTCACGGCCATTGTTTTAAAAGAACATTAAATTTATACTAAAAACAGAATTTAGTTTTGTAAATGAGCAAGGATATACATTTAATTTAAAAACTTGCAATAATTAGTGTAAGAATTAAAATTTTTAGTGTTGTACATGAGGAAGTACTCTATTGAATTTTAAAAATTTTAATTTAAAGTAACATAATTTAAGCCATTACAATAATTATAACAAATAGAAAATTGGCAAGACAACATGTGAAATAAATATTTGAAAGTGAATCAATCACTGGTTCTTCCACAGATTGTTGGGTTAAATACCAACATCCGTTTCCTTATGGCCCTGGCATCACATCCATCCTTTCAGGCCGGGGATGTCAGCACAAACTTTATTCCTCAATACCATACAGAGTTGTTTCCCTCACGTTCCCTGAGCACATCTGCGCTGGCCCACGCAGCGCTTGCAATGGCAGCCAGTCATAGGGCAAAGGTGGTCAGAGATGCGGCAGAAACTAAAGGTTCATTGATTTTTTTTAATAAAAATACTTTCATTCCTTTAGGCTGTTAATTTTATCTTGATGGACATTTTTATTTGAAACCATTTCTATCTTACATTAGAATTTTTTGCTTCTTTCTTTCTTATTCTGAGAGGTTAAGAAATTTAATTACCTATTTTTACTCAAATGAAGAGACGGAGAATGCTTTCCTTATAAATAAAAGTTAACATTTATGTTTTTTACTTATAAATTACTAACATATAGATAGATACAATAAACTTGATTGTATGATTGGTAAACTAAGTATGATCAGTCTTATAAACTCCCTTATTTTCAGACAGCTTTTCTCCCTTTGCATTGAGCTTTGGTTTAAGGCTCAACAGCTCCTCAGTATTCTTGATAAAACTTGTTGATGGAGAAACCGGTGAGATAGAGAGCTCTTGTATGATGGTATAGCTCATTAATTTATAAAACTACTTTTTTTTATGTGTCAATAATGGTGTTAAATATTAGATCTGTTGATAAAAATATACTGGTAGGTAATGGATTATATTAGGTGTTAAATGCTTAAAAGCATGGCATGTAATATTAGGTGGGCACTGACATTGGGACATGATACCCTGGATGATGATATTCAGAAGTTGAATTTAAATGGCCATCTTGGAGCAAAATTGATTACAGTGCAATAATCCTGAAAAATACAGGATACAAGAATAAACTGGAAAGGAGCCATCCATAATAATATATTGCATACATACTGACTCACTGAAAAGGTGGGGGGGGGGTGTTGGAGATTTGGCTTACTGGAGCCTATGGTGCTTGAAGTAAGTACATTTATAACGGGTACACAAATTCTGCAATAATTAAACTGAAATTCTGACAGTCTCTATCCGGTATCTTTAATAAAGCCTTGTGTCACCTGAAAATCTTTGAAATACATAATTTCTAACCATTTTCAAAAAGGCTATATGTCCTATAATCTTCAAATGGCCTCCTTGTGGGGCGTTTGCTGCAAGTCAGGAAATACTGGTTAATGGTGACTTGATTTCATTTAATTGTCTTGTTTATCTTAGTGGTTTATAAATTTGTTTATTTTAGGGGGGGCTTCACTGCACCGACGCATGGGGTGCAGACTTTTTGCTTATGTAATGTATAGATGACACCAAAGGCGAAAACACTTGATTACATTATTGATATTCAGATATTGTCTGTAGTTTTTATATTTTATATGTAAATCTATTTTTAAAAGAAAAAAAAATTATTCCATAGCAAAAATCCAATATTTTTTTTCTTAAAAATTTACAATTTTCTTAATCAGAGCATACAATCAGCTTATCAGAATCATCCAAAGGGGATTGGCTAGTCAAGGTTGATAGCAATCATCAACTGGCTGTAAGTGATGTTGTGTTGAGTGAAGTCAATGATGATAAAATGACTATCAGGTGCTCTGTGGATGGTGTGATATCATCGTCAACTGTCCTTCTATTGGGGACATCTGTTCACCTTTTTACAGTGGTAGGTTCACATTTCAACATTCATTTTATAGATACCATTTATGTACAACACCACAAGAACAGTTAGTCAGCCCGTCATTGTAGTAGAATATGAAGTTAATATGAATCTGCTCCTATATTTTTAATGTTCTTAAAAGATACTCTTGTCTATCCATCTCTTCTCTATTAGGATGGCATACATAGTTTAAATGTCCCAGCTCCCAACTACCTCAAGTCAGCTGTTGGCGCTGGAAGTGTGTTTGACCCTGTGGCTCCAATGCCAGGTGTGATAGAAAAAGTGGTGGTACAACCAGGGTCTAAAGTGGAGAAAGGAGACCCCTTGGTAGTTATGATTGCCATGAAAATGGAGGTCAGTAGAATACATAAACTAAAATTACAGATTTCTAAACTGAAGTTTGATTTTTTTTTTTTTTTTTTGAAAAGAGAAAAATAGAAAAAATGTGGGGTGGGCGGTTATTGTACCGGATTATCATGTAATATATTAATAGTCATTTTTGTTTTATCATGTAAAAATTTGACAAACAAAAATAGAAATGTCAACAATCACTGAAGTAATAGCTTTAATCCCCCCCAGTATGTGATAAGAGCAGCCCGTGATGGTGTGGTGGAGAAGGTGTTTCATAAACCCGGTGACACAGTGCCTAAAGGGACTGTACTTGTTCATCTCCAGGAAGAATAAACTTTATCAAGTTTTATGATTATTCTTTGACCTAAAATACTAAAGTTTTTAAAGAAATGTTTTAGTTATATGCATTTATTGAAACAATTTATTATATACAATCAGCTTTGATTAACATTTCACACCTTATAGCTCATTAATCATTAAAAATTCAGGCCAGCATACATAATGATAACTATTCTTGGCCTATTTTTAATTTAGTTATCATGCACGATCACAAAGGGACTCCAAGACCTTAGCTCTCTCATCTAAAAATGTCAAAAAGAAAAGTGAACAAACATTTATATAAACTATGTTTAGATGTTGTCTGACATATTACTAATTGATTTATTAATGGAATTATGAAATCAATTCCAGATATCATCAGGATAATGCTATTTGATCGTTTCCGTTGTCAAAGCCTGATTTCTAACCTTTTTACTTAACTTTATTTCATATAATTACAAAACCCCTCATCTACTGAGTGGAGTCCCAAATATCTTGTACATATAAGTCCCAAATATCTTGTGCATATTAAAATATATTAAGATATTAAAATATCATAATAGCATTAAAAAAATGGATAAAACCCATAACTTACCATCTGTTTTGCATTCTGGGTAAATGTTAATAATTTTATGCCGATGATATTTGATTAAAAATTTTAAACATTGCCGAATGGTCCCTGAAATGTAAATAAAAAGAAATATACTACTACTAAAATAAACATATTTAATTAATTAATGTTTTGTGAGGATCTCCATTTGACCTCAGCTCTGCAGGGTTTCTTACATAAGATCACTAAACTTTACTAAAAAACATTGTCCTGACAATCCCCTTCATTAAATCACTTCAGAACATACACATTTTAATCCATGCTAAAAAGATGGGTTTTAACATTTTTTATCAATTAAACTCTAAATCTCCATATTTTATTTGCGTGGAATGGGCTTCCCCACCTGCTCTTTATCAATTGCTTAGACTTAGATCAACATCAGATATTAGACAAAACAGAGCACATTAAAAAAAAATTCTTACCACTGATATGAAGACTTCTAATAACAACACTGATGCCAACAATTTTCTCAATGAACAGCAAAGCAGTAGATAGAATACTGAAATCTTTCTTCTGACCTCTTATTATGACAATATTTGTCAATGGATTCAAATAAATCACTGAAATAATATTGCATTGGTTGAGTAACCCAAAAGAAAATTAATTAATTTTAAAAAAGGAACGTTTCGCTTTATTATTTTTGTTTTAAAAATCAAATTAAATTTGGAATCTGTGAAGGCAAGAGGACATTTCAAATTACTTTAACCTAATGTAAAAATCATTTGAACAATGATGTGTACAAATAATTGTTTTTACACGGGGGGGGGGGGGGGCACCCAAAAAGGATTTCATGCATATATAAAAACTTGCCAATATAGTGTGAAGTCAATTATGGACAGCTCCTTCCATATAAAATATAAAGAAGTCAAACGGACATGATGTAATATTGTTTTCTTAAAAATAACTATTGAAATGATTATGAGCACTTAGATTAAGTAAAGTTAAATCTGAGCAGACAGCTGATGTATCATGAGTTTTGTTATACCTTTAAGGGAGGCCTGGAATGTTCCGAGTCCTAAATCTCCATGGTTCTTAATTAAGGAATCCCTTAGTGCTTGATAAATCTTGTTTCCATCTATGTTTGCTGGAAATGATTGCTTCCCGGGAACAAAGATCTCACATAAAATGTACCTGGCAAATTTAATGTGCAATTGGATAAGTAAATATTTTAACACCAATACAAGTTTACATAAATTATTAATTTTAAGTTTTACTCAACCACTACAAAATGATTAAAACTAAACTAATGATAATATGATATCTATTACTATTAGATCAGAGATTATTATTTGCCCCTAAATCGATCCCTATGCCCAATGTAAAATTTCATATTAATTTATTTCATATTAATTGTTGGATTTTGTTTTTGTCTAAAATAATAGCTAATAATGCCAATAATGCTCAGTGGGAATTAGTTCAATTCCACCTGTTGGTCCATTCACTCAAAGTCCAGTGTTGAGATTCCCCAAAGTGAAATAAGTTCCCTTGGCCTTGGTTGAGACAACTTGGCAAAGCCCATGCCCTTAACTGCACATTGAAATTTTCAAAAGCCCAGACTGTTCCTTTAACTACAGATAGTAGTAGCCTAATGTGGCCTACTAAAGTAGTCTAAAAGTTAAAAGCCTAAGTCAAGCAAGAATAGTAAATCTAGTAAAAGTCTCTAACTCTAAAAAAAATAATTAATTAATTAATCATCTTTGACTTTTTTGAGACTGCACAGGCACACGCCACTAGTAAATAAAAAGTGTAAGTTGTTGTTGATNTTAATGTGCAATTGGATAAGTAAATATTTTAACACCAATACAAGTTTACATAAATTATTAATTTTAAGTTTTACTCAACCACTACAAAATGATTAAAACTAAACTAATGATAATATGATATCTATTAATTACTATTAGCATCAGAGATTATTATTTGCCCCTAAATCGATCCCTATGCCCAATGTAAAATTTCATATTAATATATTTCATATTAATTGTTGGATTTTGTTTTTGTCTAAAATAATAGCTAATAATGCTCAGTGGGAATTAGTTCAATTCCATCTGTTGGTCCATTCACTCAAAGTCCAGTGTTGAGATTCCCCAAAGTGAAATAAGTTCCCTTGGCCTTGGTTGAGACAACTTGGCAAAGCCCATGCCCTTAACTGCACATTGAAATTTTCAAAAGCCCAGACTGTTCCTTTAACTACAGATAGTAGTAGCCTAATCTGTGGCCTACTAAAGTAGTCTAAAAGCCTAAGTCAAGCAAGAATAGTAAATCTAGTAAAAGGCTCTAACTCAAACAAAAATAAGTAATTAATTAATCATCTTTGACTTTTTTGAGACTGCACACTGTGCAGCACAGGCACACGCCACTAGTAAATAAAAAGTGTAAGTTGTTGTTGATAATCATTTAAACTGAAAATAAACTATAATTATGATGAAAGGCGCTCATAATTTTTGGCATTTTTCTAGGTAGTTAGAGCTAATCATAATCATACCTGTTACTGAAACGAACCATGTTTGTTTACATCGAGTCCCTGTCCCTGGTTAGTCTAAGTATCATTCCAAGATATAAAAAGTGTTTTTAAAAAGTTTCCAAGACACATTTAAAATAAAACATTTGGTGTAAACGATTTTTTTTTTAAATGCGTAGGTTTAAAAACGAAATAATGTATTATTATTAAATCAATTGCATTTTTGTTTAAATAAGATCAATAATAATATTGATACATTAAAATGAAAAATTAAAATGAAAACTTAATGGGTAAAGGAGCTAAAATTGTTTATAAAAAGTTAATTGTAAACATTAATTTAATAGTAATAATTATAAACAATATGCTACTTCTATTTATTGTTTTGATTTGCTCTCATTTTTTTTTAAAAAGGTATATTTGCTAAAATAAGCTGCATCAATCTTTCCTATTTATTTGACTCCTATTATATACTAATAATAAACTTTAAAATAGTTTTTATGATTTAAATGACTTGAATAAGAAATTTTAAGAAGTTTATAATGACATTTTACAAATTAATTATTATATTAGTGTAAATTGTAGATGTTTGATCTTTAAAACATATGAAGGAGAAATGCATTTAATTTCTTATGAAACTCTTTTGATACAGTTTTAATTATATTGGATTTATAACATCTTGCAGAAGTGCACGAAGGTTGAAGCAAATGGTGGAGGAAGGAATTTCAAAATAGGTCAAAATCATTGAAATGTATCTGATTAAGCTATTATTTCCTTTGGGTTAAAGAGATCATTATCTATGTCTACAATTTAATTTATACCTGCCAGAGTTTGAGTAATTTTAGCTGCTAAATATCTTTGGACTTAAATTCTTCTATTCAATAATTGAAGTTTAGGCAATGCTTGTTCAAATAAACAAGTATCTTGTCTCTTAAACATTTTTATGGTTATTAGTAAAATAATTTTTGGAGTTCAAACACAATATAAATAGTAAATCATTCTTTAGTAGTACAATAGCTACTTGTTTTAATAGTGAATAAGCATAAAATGTATGCTGTAACATAGGCTGGGCTAAGGCTAGTGAAAGACCTTACAAAATTTATAGTTCCTAGTGCCATTTTATTTTATTTTCTTTCAGTATGATCATGACTGATTCTATAAGCCTTCTATATCTGTTGTAAATATTTTGCAGTATACATAGGGCCTATTTCTTAAGATTCATTTCGAGTTTCATAATATCGGCATCCTTCCGTCTCGTGAGACGATGGTGCATCACCGTTGGGTTGGGTTGCATTTTCTCGAGTGGCTGTGCAGTCCTATCCTTGAGTGACAGTCTTTACCACAGTTTTTACACACGAGTTCCGTGCTTCTAAATGTTTTGGCCTTTCTCCTAGCTCTTCTGTCTGCAGCCTCTTCCATTCTTCGCTCCTCGGCTACCATGACGCCTTCTTTGACAACTGTGCGCCACGTAGATCGGTCTTTTGCCTTACACTCCCAGTCACTTGTATGTATTTTACATAATAAATAAACAAACAAAAGAATGTTCAAAAATATATTTTATTACATGCTTTGATATCTTTGACAACTGTGCGCCACGTAGATCGGTCTTTTGCCTTACACTCCCAGTCACTTGTATGTATTTTACATAATAAATAAACAAACAAAAGAATGTTCAAAAATATATTTTATTACATGCTTTGATCAATTTTAATATTTTAATTTTATAGCCACAGCAGATAATTTTTAATGCTCTGATTATGAATCACTTGAATCCTCATCATTTTCATCAAATATAGCAACAGTTAAAGATTTTAGATCTTCTAGAACATCTTCCATTGCTTCTGGGGAGGTAAAAAAAATCTAAATTTTTATATTCTGATTCATTCAATTTATTTCACTAATAAAACAAAGTAAACATTTTAAAGTATATTTCATAGAAGTAATATTTCTGTACAACAATTAACTTATATTTATACGATCCTTTCAAATGTTGTAATTTTTAATAAAATTTTCATTTTTTATTTTTACTTGGTTAAATATCCTAAATATGAATAGATTTAATATATTTTATGTTTGACAAAATTAAATTCCCCAATAAAACACCACCAGCAAAAAATATTGAAAACTTTCTCAATGAATGTTTGTTAATCTCTAACAAGCAGTTCAATATTAGTCAAAATGAAGCTTTAAGCCTATAGATAATTTTAAAGTGACCTTTATCCATGAATATGTTTTTAAAATTTTTTACCAGAAACTATTGTGCAATTTCGAGGCTCTAACATTCTGAAATTACATTTTACCTATCTTTATTAAAATGTTGGCTGACCTTGATTATTTCTATGAGACTCTTCATGATGCCAGACTTTTTTGTGGTTAACTTTTTCTATATCCTCAAGCATCACATTATCACCTTCTTTATCAGATCTTTGCATTAATGACTCCAGTTTATGAGGCTCTGTATTTGTACAGGTATTAAAATTGTTATTACTTAAGAGGAAAACTTGGTCTTCTGCTCCGAATGAAAGCTTTATGGGGTCGCCTCTCTCACTTTTTAGGTTGCTGATTAAGCCTTCTTGTCTTAATGTAGCCTTTCAAAAATATTGAATGTGAAATTATTTTACAAGAAAACTTGGTCTTCTGCTCCGAATGAAAGCTTTATGGGGTCGCCTCTCTCACTTTTTAGGTTGCTGATTAAGCCTTCTTGTCTTAATGTAGCCTTTCAAAAATATTGAATGTGAAATTATTTTACATTTTAAAAAATAACATTGGATTTCTTTTATCATAAAAAAATAACTATTAATAAATTAATGATTTTAAATGTGTTTCTATCCACTATAGAAAAAAAATACAGCTATCATTTGCGATTATATATTTATATATATTTATTTCTTGAGACCACATAATAGTAAAAAATACTTATTAAACATTTTTAATGAATTTTTAAAGTTTTTCTGAATAGTATTTCACATCCGGAGAAAAAATAAAAATTTCTTAATGAAATAATACTCACCATCATCAAATTTCTTTCTTTCTCTACCCTTAAAAGTTCATTTTGAATCTGCTTCAGCTGCTTGTTCAAATGTTCCTCAGTTGTCTGAAGGAGATCCTGAGCCCTTTCTAACTCTCTTGAATGATTACGCTCCATTTGTCGCATTGAAATAACTGCAGGTTTAAAAATGCAAAACATTCTAGACCATTAGAACCATTAGACCATTATTGTACAAGAGAATTTCAATTTTTAGATGAAAATATGTGCTTATCCTAAAAAAATTTTAATGAAATTTTAAATAGATTTAAAATTTCTCTTGTTATCATAAAATAATATTACCAGCTTTAGCATGCTCCCTCTTTGAGTCATTTAGTTTTCTCTCTAATGCAGCAATCTTTGTATTCCACGCTGCTTCGTCTTGCAATCTATGCTCAGCAAGGACTAAAGATAAATAACTTTAAAATATGGCTTATTTGATTTTTGTTAAGAAAAACACACATTAATTCCTAATGTATAGGAATGGTTTTTCTTAACAAAATTGGTCTGTTGGTAATTGTTAAGGCTAAAGATAAAAATAACTAAAATGCTATTTTATTATTGAGGGAATACATCACATGGGGGACATATAAAATGATGCCCATGGGATCTACATACTTTTGCTTTGTTAAAAAAGAAAATGTTTGTTACCATTATCTACACCTTTAGCATATTTGTTTAACTCGGTCTTAAGGTTCTGTATTGTTTCACTTTTTTCCTTTATTTCTTCCTTCTGAAATTCTAATTCTTCTTTCAGCTGTGCACATTTCTGGAGATAGAAAAATATTAGTTTAAAGAACATTTCATTGTGTGTAAAGCATGTGGTATTCTCATTGTCAATTTTCCGGGTTCAGACAAGATTTAAGCCTGTCGTTATTTTCCAAAATGCAGGTAATGTTTTTTAACGAGGATGAAAAAAATAAAGGGTTAACTTAAAAAACAAAACAGGTAGTTGATTTAGACAGATAACAATTTGGAATGAAAAGCTTTGATTGCTACTTCAGATTAATCTTATGATGTTTTACCTTTGACTTCTCTTGTACATCAAATTCTAGATCTTCAACAGTTTTCTTAAGAGCTGCAATCTCTGTGATATCTAAAAGCAGGGATTATGTGATCATTGTGTTAACAATTATCTGTATCCTCCTTCTAAACCCAGCTAATAAAACTGTAAAAATAAATTTTCAAAAACTGATTTAATAAACATTTATTTTAAAATATTGACAATTTTTTTAAATATTATTCACAACTGATAAGATTAATTAAAATATACATTAAATCCAATTATGTCACTAAGGTTTGTTCATTTTGTGTTTAACATTTTTAGATAATTTTGGCAAGTGTTTCAACCTGGGGTTTCTTACAGATAGATTTTAACTCTGACAGCCTCTCTGTCCATGTGGTTGAATCCTGCCTCACTTGGTAGGCTAGTGAATCTCTTTCTTTCATAACTTTCTCTAACTCATGCTGCAAATGGTCATCATCAATACTGTAGAGTATAGATTAGGATGATTATGTATATAATCAAAAAAAATTTAATATAAAAAAAATTTAATAATAAGGTAGGCCTAAGTATGAAACAAATGAGAGCTTTTGAAATATAATAAAGATGTGAGCTGTTAATTTCTTTATCCATACATACTTGAGAAAAAATTGGCAACACAAATTTAAAAAAAAAATTGTGATAAAAAAAAAAAAGATAATGAGCAAAAATAATTATTTTTAACTCTTTTTTTTGTCCCCAATATTAATTCATTAATTCAAAATATGTCTTTAATGATAATGTAGAATGAAAAAAAAAACAACAGACTATGTCACATTCAGGGTTTCTTTCTGCTATATCTCCAGGGGGCAGTGCGCACTGCCCCCCCCCCCCACCCGGAAGCCAAGTGCCCCCCCCCCAGCAAAAATATATATCCACCAATAAATCAACTGGAACTGCTGGCACTGCCCCCCCATAAAAAAATCTGAAGTGCTCCCCTGGGCGAAAATTTCTGAAAGAAACACTGGTCACATTTATTAAAATATTAGTGCTATCATAAGTTTAAAGTTGAAATGTTTTACTGTAAGACCTCAGGACTTAAAAATGTTTTAATTTTCAAGAAAAAATGTGTTAACATGTCCTATATACAAAGTTACATGAAATGTTTATTTTGTTTCAGGATTCTTTAATAAAACAACACTTACTTGGATTCTACTTTTTCCTTACAGTGTAATATTGAAGCTGAGCTTGATTTATCATAACTAAAATCAATTGCAGATTTTCTAATTATCTGGGCTTTAAAAAAAAAAATGTAAAGACAATTAACATAATTTAATTTTAGAAAAAAAACAAGTTGCAATGACAGTAAAAAAAAAAGAAAGCAAATTTCTAGTGTCAAATTTAGTATTAAGTAAATTAAATTTAATGCCCCCATTCTTCCATTGATTTTTATTATTACCTTTCAAAAGATCCANACATCATTGATCAGTGTGATGTATTAGAGACTTCTTTAGAAGAACATGTTTTTTATGCCAGAACAAACATCATGGATCAATGGGATGTCGTAGAGACATCTTAAGAAAAACATGTTCCTAAAAAAAAAAAAAAAAAAAAAAAAAAAAAAAAAAAAAAAAAAAAAAGAATCAATACCAGATGCTAAGTTTTGACTAAGTAAAAAAAAGGTTCATTTGGTGTTGCCAAGGTATAATTTTAGGCACAACAATCTACATGTTACAGTAAAAAGAAATATGCACAGGTTAAATAAAAACCCGAGGACGGTCAATATAAAATATTGTATGTTTCAGCTAAGCAGCCCTCAACAGCTTACTGTTCTGTCAATTCTGAATCTTCACTCAATCATAACCCACCATCCACCCAATTCCTTTCCCCCACACACCCCTCACCATCCTCCAAAATCCTTTCCCCCACACACCCGTCACCTTCCTCCAAACGCCTTTCCTCCACACCCATTCACCATCTACTAAAAAAAATAAATGTCCCTTTTTCCCTTAAGAATCCACTGCCTTTAAACCGGTCGAAAAAAATTATTAATAAAATTAAAATATAACCAAAAAAAAAACAACCCCAACCCTTCTTGCACATCCCCCAACAACTACCCCTGCCCACAAAATACCATCTCACTATTCCAATATCACTATTTCCCATATCGGCTCATTTAAGCCATTTACTGGATGTACATACTTTAATTAGTGTTCCATTAGGTTAATCTGGGTTAGCGCACGGAGTAGTTTTGCATGAACTAGTACAATATCCACTCCTGCCAAAGAACCCATCCATTAACCCTCACTCCCTTAAAGGCTTCCAAACCCCAAGAAAAATACCATCTCAACCAATGTCTCCATAGTGCCATAATATAATCTTTATTCTCAGTCATTATCCCTGTCCACTCAGATAATCTATTCCTCTAGTGCAGGGCTTGGGAACATCCAGCCCGTGGGCCACAAAAAGCCAGTGAGATCGTTTGGTTTGGCCTGTCGGTGGAATTTAGAACCCAATAAATATTGGAGTTTTTTTTCATACTAACATTAATTTGTATTTAGTCAATCATAAAAATAACATAAATTTTGAAGGACAAGCAAGGACCCGCAAGATCATGAGTTAAATTCATTCCATGAAAATTACATCACCCTGAGAATGCTGAGATGTGCGGGGATTCCATGCCTGAGACAGTCACTAGGGCGCCAGCCCTGATTTATTTATGGTCAGCGAATGATGCTTTAAATATCCAAATGACCCTTGGCAGAAAAAAAGTTCCCCACCTTTGCTCTAGTAGCTCCCCATACACCCCCCCCCCAAACTGGACATACTTAAGAAATATTTATTTATTTTAAGTGTTTTGTCAAGGTGTCTCCTATCTAGGAATTGATAGAAAAAAAGATATAACTGAATATAAAAATGAAAAACATTGAAACAATAATGTCAAGTATTATCATTAGGAATAAGAACCTTTCTATGAATTCTGTAAGGCCTTTCACACTGTCCAGGCTGTCCCTAGACTGGTCATCTAAACAAATGGCAACTTTATTTAAATGATCCAACTCCTGCTGCAGTCGCTGAGGAAATAAAGATAGTTATAATGATTAAGTTTTAATTCCAATCAAGACAAATTACATTCAACATCCAGATAAATAAAGTTTCTTTATATTACAGGAAGTTTAAAATATACATTTTACCTCTTTGCTATTTCTTTCCATCTGAAGTTGGGCAGATTTATCTACTAAAGAAAGCTTGAATACTTCAACATTAGCATCACTGGCAGCCAGTTTGTCTGTTAAATCTCTAATCTAATTTTTCAATTTAAAAAATAATTTTTTTTTACTTGAATTAGATCTATTTGTTAAAGATATTATTCTAAATTATTTTTCATACGGCTTAATTTATTTGAAAAGATGCAAGATTTTGAATATGATTCCAAAGCTATTAATTATAGAGCGATTTTTTTCATTACACATATATAATTTTCCATATAACTGTTTTTAATTTATAACTTTTGTAAAAATACCCCCCCAAAAAATGCATTTTAAATAATGCTTCTTTAAATAAGGCTTTCAATTTAAAAGAGAAGAGTTAAGGTTCAAATTTTTTCAAGTAACATTTTGCATCGCTGAATAAAAAAATAAAATTCTAATTTAAACAAAGTCCATTTTATAAGGAAAAAGTGATAACTAAATCTCCAACAAAATGTTCAATGATTGAAAAACTGAAATACAATCTAGACTAAAAACATGTTTTTTAAAATACCGTTAAGAGTGACAACTTAAAAGGCATTAGTTCTATATTCTCTTTAAAAAAAATAATATAAATTTGCAAAGAATGGCTTTAAAATATTTTATAAAGTGTCACATTTCAAAACTCACCTTTTGGTTTAAGTTATTCACATCATTCTTGTGCACAATTTCAGAAGATTTTTGCTGCACTAGAAGACTAAAAACCTTTTCTCTCCATCTTAAAAAAAATATATATTACTATATTACTAATTATAATTTAGAAACCTCCTAAAAATGTCTTTTAATTGAAAAAAAAAGAGATAAATACTAAAAAGCAGGAATGAAAATAAAATACAAATATTACTAACCTGGTTATCAAAAGATTCTGCTGCTTTGATAAACCAAGTCCTTCTGTATTGGGCTGAAAATGAAAAAAACCTCAAAAACTAGTTAAAATTACAAAATATATTTATGACTAAGGCTTTGACATCTAAACAGGAGATGTCATCACAATTCAAATCAGTTAGGGGTGTGAAATTTTATTTAAGAATGAATTTGAGCACCTAAGAAGCATAGAGAATGTAACTATATATATATATGATATATATAAAGTAAAACAATAAAGGAAAATACTTCAAATGGTATTGTTTAAAACATTATATTCTGAAATAGATATCAAATCAACTTTAACTGTATCTTAAACTTAAACTCTTTTAAATGAGCAATTAAAGCTTTAGCAAGCTAGCAAATAATTTTCTTAATTGTCTTAACAGCTTATGTTTAGTAGAGAATTTCATTGTTTGCTTGCTAACTTTGCTTAGTTCAGCCTCTTGAACTGCAAGTATGTCACTCAGTGCTTTAAATCGCACATCCATTAGTTCCAATTCTGATTGCAGTTTCTCATTTTCTGCTCTTGCGATTTTCAACTTGTTCTCCACAGTTTCTTTTTCCACCCTCCACACATGGGCAGGCTTGTGAGTTTGCTCTGCTTCTCCAATGTAGGTCTTTAATTTGGAAATCTGGTGGGCCTGATCCTCAATGATTCTAGATTTGTTCCTTCATGCAGGAAATTGAACATTGACAAGCTCAAGACATTAACATCTTCAGTGAGTTATGTGAGGCATGACAGTTTACAACAAACTAGAAAAAAACACCTTTATATTTAAGAGGAGAAAAGAGCAACTGGCTTGTTCAGCTTTCATATCATTGGTCGTGGCTATTGTTTGGCTTTGTATGGTTGGTCAATCCTTATGTAAACATGGATTGGATGACATTAACAGGAATTGAAAGGAAAGAAATTGTTCAGATTGAAAGTATACTTTTTATTTTCTTAAATTATATTATTAGGTCTGTTTTAATTAGACCTACTAATCTTATTGGAGTTGAGCTTAGAAACATCAAATAGGAATTAAGATGGCCTCAGGGGTGGAAAAGATTGAAAGTATACTTTTTATTTTCTTAAATTATATTATTAGGTCTGTTTTAATTAGACCTACTAATCTTATTGGAGTTGAGCTTAGAAACATCAAATAGGAATTAAGATGGCCTCAGGGGTGGAAAAAGTGGTAGATGTAAATTTTTTATCAAGTTATACTACCACGATTAAGATTATGGCCTAGATATACTTCAGTGAAATGCATTATTAACAGTTATTCCAAAAAATAATTATATATTACCTTTGTTAATCAGTATCCCCAATATATATCAAATCTGTCATTCAATAACCCATGTGACATGTACCTGATGATTAAGGCGGTCCTAATTGATTTCGACTGATGAAATATATATATATGACATGTACCTGAGTTCAACGTCCTGCTGATTTAATGTCCTTTCACTCTCCCTTTGAACAACATTGAGAGTATCTTCCAACTCCTTAACTCTGTTGCTTAGAGCTGTTCTGGTCTTTTCAAGTTTATCATTTAAAACTGATGTCTCAGTTTCTGTATCTTCTAATGTCCTTTGAAGCTCACTGCTAATTCTTGCATACTTGAAATATTAAAATCAGCAAATAGAACATTCTGAAAAAGGGCTCATAACGTCTTTTTCTTTATTAATTTCATAAATGTTAAGATTTTTTTAATATTTTGATTTATCAATCCCTAAAGATTTAGTAAACATTTAGAAAATCAAATTTCATAATATTACATTGGCATACATTTCCATTACTTGGAGACTTTTAGTTTTGGTAGAACATTTGATATTAAATTTTGCAATACTTACTCTTTGTTCAAATTCATCTTCTTTTCTTTCCCATTCCTTCTCCAATCTTTTTAATTCATGACGGTGTTCTTCTTCCATAAATTCAACTTTTCTATTCCATTCACCCACCTCTTGTTTATAAGCCTGTCGACATTTAATGAGTTCAGATTTCAGCTCTGCTATTTCGCCACCTTGCCTTTTTATCAATTCATCTGCATATTCGTTATGAGGCAATGAAAAAGAAGGTACCTGAAAATTTATTGTTTATAAGCCTGTCGACATTTAATGAGTTCAGATTTCAGCTCTGCTATTTCGCCACCTTGCCTTTTTATCAATTCATCTGCATATTCGTTATGAGGCAATGAAAAAGAAGGTACCTGAAAATTTCAAAAAATTTGAATGCGTTTGACATGTTCAACTGTTGATGCTGGTAAAGATTAGTTTTAAATAATGTTGAAATTTAGAATGTAATTATTTATCATTTATTTTTAAAGGCATTGAAACAATGTGAGAGTGATTTAATGTTCATAATTACAATGAACTTGAAATTGTTTATAGTTTAATAAGGATCTAATCAATATTTTTCAACTTAAGTTACATGAGCTCACTTGAATCTGAGATTGACTCTGACTTTGCACTGATCTTTAAAATTGATTAAAAGAAAAAAAAAATTTGTTAGCAAATAAGATATTTCAACGAAAAGTACAAAAACAGGTAAGTCTTTTAAAAACTTAAATTTACAATTTTTAAAATGATGTAACTCATCTAAATCATTTTAATATATTCAAATAATAATAACACTGATGAGTGTAAGTGTTAAAATCCTTTTTTTAAAAAAAGGTTAGAAAACTTAATTAGTTGAAATCTTTAACTTTTAAGACATTGCATATGGTAATAAAGAATTATCACAAGCTAATTCATAAAACATTATAGTACCTTAATCTTTCATTTTCTTGACGCAAATCTTCAATTTGCTGCTTGATCTTCTCAAGCTCTTTAACTTGAAATATTTTAGGTTTTTCAAATTCTGATGGTGGAATTAGTACAACATCTCTAGAAACCTTAGGTGTAGCTGGAAAAAAAACAAATTTTTGTTAATGTGTAGTATATCAATATTTAATAAATAGCCTGCTATTTCACCAATGTGAATTTTTTTTTATTCTTAAACACAGAAATGGATTATTTTCAAATATAAACAGTAGTTATAAACATTTGAAAATCTTAAAACATATCAAAATATAATGCATATGTTTTAACCTAGCATAGTCTATACAGAAAAATAACACTATGAATAACTGATTTATATAATTTGCTTCTAGAGTTCATTTCTAAACATTTAATTAATAGTTCTATCCCCACCATTCATCTTACATTCGCCTATCGGCTACATAAACTAATACAAAACTTGTATCAAGACAATAGTGAACATGTTTCTACAGCTGTACAGCTACAAAAACTAGCTAGTCTGGGAGATTAAGAAATTTAATTAATACTATTCTGCTATTCAAAATTTATGTTTTTCAGGTCTGAAGTGCTATTTACCAGAAATAGCACCATGGACAGTGGAGCGAGGGCAACTGGGTTTTCGATGGCATAGAAAGAAAGGGTGGGTATTGTTTTCTTGTTTCTGCCAGAAAGACGTGCAATCCCTTTACAGGAGTACATAGAGAGGTATATTCTACAAGATTCACAAATTGTCTCGGATGGATGGGCGGCTTATACAAACATAAATCAGATCAAACGTGGAATCTATGAACCTTCTTTTATAGTCCATCACCTAAACTTCTTTGATCAAAATGATTCTGGTGTCCACTGTCCACACATAGAATGTAGAAAATATGTGGATGTGCAAAGTGCAAACTGAATAGAGTTTGGTACCAGCAATGCTCTTTTCCCTTCTTATTTACATGAGTTCTTATTCAGCAATAATTGTCATAGAGATTATATTTTCAAGAGCTTCATTGTTACGTTGGGCTTGGGGGTGAACAATGGCGACTATGCATAAACTCAAACTCTGTTTGCTTACATATTATTTTCATTTTCATATACTAAAGTGTTTAAGCTTTCTTGGGAAGAATAATTTATGTGCTGAAAAGAATTTCCATTTATTTGGATCAATAAAAAAAAAAGAAAGTTATTTGAATAGCAGAGGATGAAAAGCTAGGTTACTAACTTCACTGACTTAGGCTAAACCTAATTACTAAAACTAATATTAATTGAGTAGTAGCCTGATTGATTCGTCTTACTTTTCTGATATTATGTTAATTAATTAATGACAACTTTGGCTACTTTGTAATTGTATAAGTATAGAGTTTATAATTATTTTTAAAAAATTTTAGTAAACAAAATTACAAAGTCAAAGTGTCATAAAATTAAAAGCAGAACCAATTAGGAAAAATAGCTACCTCAAAATTCAAAATTTTAAAGAATGTTTAAAAAATTTTCTTTAAAGAAAAAAAAAAGAGTGAGTATATCGGCTAGAGTAGCTACAATTACAATTTTATCACAATACCGAGAAAATCCGCAGGCTTGTTCAGATTTGCTGCCATTTTGTGTCTAAGAACAACAGATGAATGTCGTTAAACTATTTTTATTTACTTCTTGTAATTTCAATTCATAAATGTGTTTAGCAAACACACTATATAAAATGGATTTAGGATTCTCAAAAAAAAGGTATCCTTTTACAAGTTACCATAGAAATTTAACGGAATATAATTTTAATAACTTAACAGGATATAGTCTTAATTTTTTTACGACAAAAGACACTTTTTATGGCAAACAGGGCTACTCGGTACACAGAGACAATTTTCATTGTCAACAAGATTAAGATATGTCTCGCAAAATGCTAGAAGTGAAGAGAATAGTCGCTTGATTACTTTTAGATTAACGAAATAAGACGGTAATGTCGCATTTTAGTGTATTAAATTAATCGGTAATCCCTTATTTTAGTGAGTTTTATTATTTCTTGAAAAATAAAATTTAAAATTCATTTTTGCCTTATGGAACTTAAATAAAAGTATTTTTAAAAGTAAAATACCATCTTTTTGTTGGAATACAACAACAATTTAACACATTTTACATTCACTAATAATTGGATTTACAATAAATAGAACGTTTATTTAACTTCTGCAAATTGTCGTGGAACTCGGCCTTTAGGCGACGGTGGCTGACGGTGGATAATGATTGATGACGGTTCGTGATTGTGGATGACGGTGGATGGGGTGAATGATATGTGGATGAAGGTGGATGACTTTAGATGATGGTGGATGATAGACGGATGATGGTGGATGATAGATGGATGATTGTGGATGATGGTGGATAACGGATGATGATGGTGGATGACGTTTGATGTTGGTGGATGATAGATGGATGATTGTGGATGACGATGGATGATGGTAGATGATGGTAGATGACGGTGGATGATGGTGGATGACGGTGGATGACAGTGGATGATGGTGGATGATAGATAGATGATTGTGGATGACGGTGGATGATGGTAGAAGACGGTGGATGATGGTGGAAGATGGTGGATGACGGTGGATGACAGTGGATGACAGTGGATGATGGTTGATGTTGGTGGATGATATATGGATGATTGTGGATGATGGTAGATGACGGTGGATGACGGTGGAAGATGGTGGATGACGGTGGATGACAGTGGATGATGGTTGATGTTGGTGGAAGATAGATGGATGATTGTGGATGATGGTGGATAACGGATGATGATGGTGGATGACGTTTGATGTTGGTGGATGATAGATGGATGATTGTGGATGACGATGGATGATGGTAGATGATGGTAGATGACGGTGGATGATGGTGGATGACGGTGGATGACAGTGGATGATGGTGGATGATAGATAGATGATTGTGGATGACGGTGGATGATGGTAGAAGACGGTGGATGATGGTGGAAGATGGTGGATGACGGTGGATGACAGTGGATGACAGTGGATGATGGTTGATGTTGGTGGATGATATATGGATGATTGTGGATGATGGTAGATGACGGTGGATGACGGTGGAAGATGGTGGATGACGGTGGATGACAGTGGATGATGGTTGATGTTGGTGGAAGATAGATGGATGATTGTGGATGATGGTGGATAACGGATGATGATGGTGGAGGATGGTGGATGACGGAGGATGACAGGGGATGATGGTTGATGTTGGTGGATGATAGATGGTGGATTGTGGATGATGATGAATGACGGTGGATGGCTGTGGATGATAGATGACGGCGGATTACTTTGGGTGCCTGTGGATGATGGTGGATTATGTTGGATTACTGTGGGTGACGAAGGGTGACATTAGATAACGGTAGATGACACATCCATCTATCATCCACCGCCATACATCCAACGTCATCCACCGTCAGTATATACAGTATACAACAACGATGTCGGCACACAAAGGACTAAATGGTACAAAACAAATAATTGTAAAAACTGACCTTTTATGCTCTGGGAAGTCCAAGGAAAAAAAATGGAACTGTTTTAAATGTTTTATTAAACAGGATATCGTCCTTTTAAGACAATCAAAAGTTCGTTGAAGACTTTAAACTTTGTGAAGTTGCAACGGAACTGAAACTCCTTTAAATATGATGGAAACAATGTGTCACTTGTTCCGTACTGTCTTTTCAGTTTACGTTTGGCGCGCATCCATAGATTTTCTATATTTTGTGTGTGCACATCTGGGTCGTTGGGATCAACAAAATTTCTTTCGTGCACTACAACTGAATGTATGAATATGCCATTGGACAATTGCTCTATGTTCCTATAGCCTGCCCAGCCATCTGTTATTATGTGTGTCCCTGGCAAAACCTGTTGGACGATAATGTTTTCCAGGGTTCCAGCTGTTCTGTCTGGAACTTCCACTAGGAAGCATTTTCCAGTGGACCTTTCTATGCCACCAAAAACCCAGTGGCCTTGACGCCATGCTCCTCTGTGGTATTTCCGATGGAAATATTTTGATTCGTCAAGCTCAACCACAATGGGCTCCCCATTATCGTCAAAGCCACCAATCTGAGTTGCATGCTGGTTCAGATAAATCCCTATATCCTCTCGAAGAAAATTAAACCAGTCAATCACCGTGTTTTGGTTTTGGATTTGAGACTCATGCCTCGTAACATCTTGAGGAGAATCAATGGCGAAACAGTATATGAGAATGACTAATTTAGATAATGGTAGATGGCTCCTAGTAAAAAATGAGCCATCTCGTATACTTTTCCTCAAACGACAAATTGGACACTTCCATATATGTTTGTCAATACCTTGATTGTGGGTTGCAAGGTTACAAGCCACATGGCAATTGTTGCATTCCATTTTATTCTTTAAAAGGGAGCGCCTTGCAAGAAATTCCATTGTTGTATTGACATTATTTGTTGCCTCACAAAGTGTGCGCATAAGCCAACTCTCAGTCCGAAGTGCTGCATCATTTAAAATTTCCGTTGGATCAACAATTTGAATCCTATTTAATCTTGGTCTTCCGGCCATTTTCAACAAAGAGATCCCAGTACACCATTAATACCGCAAAATGAGTGCGTCCTATTATATATAATTATGATCACCAGCCCTCACTCTCATGCTTCTTAACGCAAATCAGTCAACTTAAGCTCATTGGTATACGAAAAAGGGGGAGGGGTGCTCAAAGTAGCGCTGACCAATCACGAACAACGTATCTGCTTACCATGAGTGTGATTTGCGATGACCATCAGTAAATGACCCCACGCTATGGACGATTTCCCCCACCCCCATTTCTCCGTCGCCACAAATGTTCAAAACAAATGGGACGCATTCTCACAAATTTGTGCCACCCCCCTTCCCTTTCCTTTTCCAGATCCATTCTAGACAATTTTTTCAACACCAGCTCCGCTTCAAGCTCCGAAAAAATGAATAAGGGGAGGGTGATGATTGAGAGTTTATTAATATTATTGTCAGTTCCCTATGTTATTAGCCGTGCATTTGAAATACACGTATCGGCAACATAATAGGTAGAAGTAGAAGAGTAGGGCAACGGTTTTAATAAATACTACTTTGTTGATATGAAACGGGAATATTATGTTGTTTTTTTGTGTTAAATTAATATATCATATCACATATATACATAAAAATGAAAATTTGTGGGTTCGTCTGTCTGTTTGTTCCACAAAAGCGTTCACGCGGATTGATGGATCTTGACCCAGCTTAGCACATATATCCATCATTATCCGGATGGAACTCTAAGTCTTAAGGATAAGGGGTTATGAACTTTTTATAACATTCCGTTAGGAGCTGGGGGGGGGGGGGCCCGAATTCGTTTTTTTTCCTAATATTATATGTGCTATATAAATAAAATTACTAAAAAAATACCTTAACATGAATGGATTAATCTTGTAATGGGATCTCATCGGGTTTGCGGGATCATACCGAGGTTCTATAGGAAAACGGGATCAGTGGCCTACCTGGATCGGGTTCTATTGGGATCAGGATCCCACCGGGATTTGGGATCAAACGGGAAGCAGGATCCCCACGGGATCGGGATCCCACTGGAATCAAGCTATCGACGTGAATGGGATCACACCAGGATCGTGATACCGACGGGATTGGGTTCCCAGCGGGAAATGGGATCGATCCTAACGGAATCGGAACCCCCAATGGGGTTGGTATCCCAATGGAAATGGGATTACATTGGGAACGGGATTTCAATGGGATTGGGATTCCAATAGGATCTGGATCCCATTGGAAAATGGGATACTATCGGGGACCGAAAGGTTTACACAAGTTATTTTAAATGTGTTTTTATACGAGACAAATTAATTAGGGTTTGCTTTTTGTTTTTTTGTTTTTTTACTTGGCGCATAATTTTAATGTAAATTAAAAGTCCGTAGACGTTGTTGTTTTTCCGATGCTATCCCGGGCAACGCCGGGTATCTTTGGCTAGTTAATTAATATTATTTGGAGCTCAAAGAAGTAAGGAATTTCAGCAGAAGCAGACCCACTCCAGCTCCGGCGGTGGACAACCTTACTTCCAAGAACCTAGCTTCTCTTGACAGCGCCACTTTTAATTCATCAACTTCAGCCCTAGTTAAACAAAGGTGTTACATCAACACCACGTGCTCAAGCCATGCCTCTGGTTCCCTTGTCCATCTAGTTAAACAAAGGCAAAGGTATTACATCAACACCACGTGCTCGAGCCTTGCCTCTGGTTCCCTTGCCCATCAGTGGCTTGGACATCGGTGGCTCTTTGATGTTCGTGGAATCCTATTACGTCGAGACTCCGTGCTCGGCGTCTTTTGCCAGGCCCACTGTTTCGCGGTTTCTCTGGTCAGCTTACACCACTACTGAAACTGCTACGTTGTCATTCTTTGATATGGTGACGTAATGCATCGTCCCGGTCACTCTTGGTCAGATAACTAAATTCACAAGTAAATGATGATGTGTGTGTACGCTTCCTTGGTAATCAGTTTCAAATCCTACGCCCCCCCCCCCCCATGGCTTCAACTTCAAGGGGCTACCCGTATATTTCGAGCGCTCTGGGAGAGAGAAAAAAATTGGGGTGGGGGGATACGTGATGCCGATCATCACGCTCTGATGGACAGGGGAAGTTAACCCCCACCCTCCTGCCCCACGTCCACCATCCAAGATAAGACCTTTTAACCTTCATACTGGCACAGATCGCATTATATGGGTCTAGAGTGAATGGACAACACGATGGGACGACGGCACCTTCAACGCTCAGAGAGATTCCGGTCACTGCGCCTACACCCCAGTGTAAGCCAATGCCGGTCCCTACGCCTACACCCCAGTGTAAGCCGATACCGGTCCCTACGCCTACACCCAAGTGTAAGCCGATGCCCCTGAATCTGACATAATTGTCTATTATTTTTACATTCCTTTAACCGTATCAATAATACTTTTGGTCTGAGACTGGCAAAAAATCTGGCCAAACTTCAGCGAAACAGACAAAAACAATAGCAGCCATCGATAGTCTTTGTAAATACATGGTTTATATTAAATTTTCACCTTAAAACCACTGCAAAATACATGAAAAAACAATTGGAAAACAATAAATACATGTTGCAGTAGCCACTGAAGTGTTTTAATGTAGTTCCATGAGGTAAAAATGAATTTTTAATTTTATTTCTGTAGAAATAATAAAACGCACTAAAATAAGGGATTACCAAATTAATCATAAGTGACATAGCCTTTTTTATGCAGCGCCATACATTTAAAAATAAATATTAAAAGTAACCTTTTGGACTTTCTGTGCCAAAAAGACGGAGCCCCTAGTGTTTACGTTAGTTCACACAAGCCCAGCGCCAGCAGCACTTATTTTGAGAGTGAGTTTGCAAAAAAAAAAAATAAAATGAAGTAATTACTTTACTCATTAGCACTAGCTATATTATATAATACATAATTGTAGGACATTGAATGAACTAGTAAAATATGTATGTAATAAACCAAACTAGATACTTCGGTAGGTCAAGGGAGACTACTACTTTTTGTGTATGGGATTTCGCAATCGGCGCTGAAAAATCCGAGTTTTTAATTTTCCGATGTGTGTGTCTATTTATTATTAAATTAGTACTTTCGATATATATTTGAGTTCCGTTTTCAGCCTTATAATTAGGTAGACATCTTGGCCTACATTTTAATCAATTTCTTTTTCATTTACAATCAGTCAGCTTTGAGAAAATCCTTGGTAAACATAAGGCAACTTTCATCATTAAAATTAAGTCGAAGGAAAAAATTTGTCACTACCAAATTTTTTTTGCATCTGGGGAATCTATTGATCTACATGTATGCCAATTTTCACAGCGATAAGTGTCTTACGAGAGACGCTATGTTTCTACGCGTTCGCAGCAGGTCATGCAGCTCGCTCAACCTAATTTCGCCATGGGGTGGGCCACGCCCCCTTTGTAATGGCGGAAGTTGCCGATACTTAGGAAATATTAATTTATTACCACTATCTACATCAAAATAATTGATAACTTGTGTTTCAGAATGCATTTTGAAGACATTTAAACTGGAATGTTTTAATTTGAGCTTTAACAACCCGGTAGAATCCATATTATAAATGATCAGAATTTACCGTGTGCAACACGTTGTCATTGGCAACCATTCACAGCCACTTGCATAACTGTATCGTAGTACTACCTCAGAGTTTCATTCATAAGAGTTTGCCGTGTGCAAAAACTACTAAACCATTGGTCAGGGAAAGCTTTAATTAATTATTCATGTGCCAAAGTTGAAAGTTTAAACTAAGTCGACCCTAAACAGTATTTTAGTGATAAGGCGATGCGTTGCCTTATATAAAGTATATAGTCATTGCGCATGACGCGATCAGCGGAATGAGGTCACAAGATGTGGAGGTTTCGTCCATAGTAAAAAATACCAAACGAACTCACACTTTAAAAATTCATAGCTCAAAAAGTACTTAAGCTAAAAAGTTGATTCTGGTTTCATTTTTTTATTTGAAATTAGCTCTAACTAACTGTGCTATTAAAAAAATTATTTGAATTTTTTAAAATTTTGTATTCAAGTGGCTAACCAAACTAAAAAAAATGTCAAATTTGAGTCATTGAAAACATTTACAATTTATAAAAAAATGATCCTGATTTTGCGCACATTTTTTTTTTACACTTAGAATAAATGATCAATTTATGTTCGGCAAGCCACTTTGAGTTCCTGTGTAGATTCTCTCCCCATTATTTATTAATGGATTGTTACTAGCATTGACTTTTCTTTATCTTAAATATAAATATGCCAATTAAATGGTTTTGATTGGTGGCTTTATTAATATTTCATTGTTTGGGTAGTTATAGTTATAATATTTAAAACTAGGAAGAGAATCCTACACTTACGCAGAAACTCAAAGGGGCATTTTTTTAGCACAGTAAATTATCAATGGAAGCGGCCATTAAATTATCGAGATAAGCAAAAAAATCCTCATAGCAATCTGATTACCTGGTATGAAGACCAGTCAGTCAATGTTATTATTGGGGCCATTAGATCTGCATTGGGCCAATATTTCATCCCCGCCGTCTCGAGAGGATTAAGTTACTAAGTAGGGCTAAAAAATTAAAGTGCAAGTTCATTAATCCTTTTTGACTATGTCACATTTTGTGACTGATTCCACTGCTTGCATAATGTGCGAAAACTTGTGTTTTATTGAGAATTTTAATTACCTTTTATTTTCCGGTTTATTTCTATACTGTAATTTGGCATTTTTAAAAGAAATTTTAACAATAAATTAGACTTCTGTAAAATAATAAATAAATTGTCTTCTTTCTTGGCATCATCCCTATGTCTTATCATTAAGTGATAATATACTATTATGTTAAGGCTTCATATGTTATCAATAGCATTCAAATATAAAAAAACAGTTTTTTTTCTGGACATCAGTATTTTCACGCATTTAAGACGCAACCATTTATAAGACGCTGGTTTTGGCGATTTGTGAAAACAAAAATTACCCGGTACATAAGATGGATGCTGCCTATCTATCTGCTACACTGAGCAATTTATATACAGTGGTTTCGTTTCCTTTCTCATAAATTAAAATTTGTTCAATGTTTCATCACCCGTCAGATGTGAACAAAGGGTTCATTACCATTTTTAGTTGACCGATAGATCAAAGAATTGTCTGAGGCAGGACGTAATGATTATTGTTTATTCTTATCTGCCGCCGGGCCAATAGCGGATGGGTTGAAGACCTATATCTAGATTCTAGAAACAATAAACCCCAGATGTAAATATTGCTTCATTGATCTGCTATTAGTCTAAACCCCAGATGTAAATATTGCTTCATTGATCTGCTATTAGTCTCAGCGAGTGGGATTAGTATCGTACATAAACCAATAAATGCCAGATGTATGTATATAATACATGGGTTTTGACAATTTGTGTAAAAATATTTTACATAAGACGCATCCTTATATTAGACACAGGTTTTGACGATTTGTGTAAACAAAAATTACATAAGACGAACGTGGCAAAGTCATCTGCCGCACTGAGCAATTTATATCCAGTGGTTTTCTTTAATTTATCATAAATGAAAATTTGTCCAATGTGTAATCACCCGTCAGATGTAAACAAGGCTTCATTATCGTTTTTATTACTGGTAGATCAAAGAATTGGCTGAGGCAGGACCACAACGATTATTGCTTATTCTTATCTGCCGCCGGGCCAATAGCGGATGGGTTGAGTACCTGGTATCCAGATTGTAGAAACAATAAACGCTAGATGCAAAGGCAGCTTCATTGATATACAAATCATTGAAATGAAAGGATTTTAAATTTGAATTGGCCTGATCTTGATTGGTACACGTGGTAATTACTGAACACTTACCTAATTGTTTTTACAACTAGGAATGAAAATCGGGAAACATGAATATAGACCGCAATAATCGTCCTTCAAAATCACACACTGTACTATTAGTGTGTGTTAAAAAACACTTATTGTATTCTCGCACATATAAGCCACACCCATATATAAGGCGTGGGTTTTGATGATCTGTGTAAAAAAATATTTTACATTAGATGCAACAATATATAAGACGCACCCTGGGTGCGGTTTATGTAAAACTTTGTATAAGAAGTGTCTTATATACACAAAAATATATTACTCCCATTTCCGTGACTAATTTAATAGTAAACCCCTCACTCCTGCTTTACCAACCTATCTAAATTTTAACTTTCATTTTTTTTTTAAAATTAACATCCCTATTCTTACCAGACACAATACATTTTCCACAGAAAAATAATGGATTTCTAATTTCTTGAAACAAGTGTCTCAATTAAATACATTGAACACATTTTGTTTCAAATTATTTAAATTCTGCTTACACTATACCACTGCAGTCAACAGTTCTGCATTTCACTTAATTTATATATTAAATATGTTATTTATGAGTTGTTTCCGTATTTCAGTAAATTTTCAGTACACCATGTTCAGTAAAGTTGGTTCGGATAAAACAAAATTTTTAGAGCACATCAAAGCTGCCAGGGATGAAAGGGCTCAGGATAGAGAGAAGGAAGTAGCAACTGTACGAATTCAGGTAAATAAATCGTTCACTGCATTTTTTTATATAAATCCATAATATTGGGTGGGTGAAGCAAAGTGACTTTATTTATAATTTCTGTAATTTAATACTATAATAAAACCACATAAATGTGTAATTTTCAACTATAATTTAATGTAATTACAAATTTATATTATTGTAAATAAATGCTCAGTTGCAAAAAATTGTATATTGAGGGGATGGGGTGTATTTACCTACCTTGAACATTTATAACAGATAATTTAAGTTGCTCTGCCCTTCTAAATCACTGGGTACCCTAAAGTGGTGCAATATATTAAAATACAACAGCTTTGATGACATCTTGTAGCATTTGTAGTATGGTGCATTTAACATATTTTTTTACAAAATTTTAAGCTCATTAATAAGACTGCTGTGGAAAAATTGTTTAATTAAAAAAATAAGTCTAATTCTTGAGAGGTCCTCAATTTCATCATGATATTTTACAGTCAAGTGTGAGAGGATATTTTTCAAGGAGGCGGCTCAAGAAGGCTATTTAGTATGTACACTATTCAAACTGTATCTATTTCTTTGATGGTTATGGTCTGTTGACAGAATCTTGTTCTTATATTAATGAATTGTATCTTTTGTCATTATCTCATTTAAACTTTCTTAGAGGAGGATTCAAGAGGCTTTTAGACACTAATGGAAAATCTATTAAAACAATTTCATTGCATTTATTTTAATTGAACTAAGTAAATATTGTTTTTAGTTGAAGCTTTATTTATTGTATGCTCTCAAATGCCATGTATGATTATTCTTGCTACAGTGAGGAAATTGACACATTTTTAAATGCACCACCACCTGAAAGTGATGCAGAATACAAACCAACACTAAAACCTGGTAGGCATAGGGCAATATGCTCTCAAATGCCATGTATGATTATTCTTGCTACAGTGAGGAAATTGACACATTTTTAAATGCACCACCACCTGAAAGTGATGCAGAATACAAACCAACACTAAAACCTGGTAGGCATAGGGCAGAATTGTTATAGATTTGTTAATTTTATTTTGGATGACTTTAGATACTTACAATAGCCGCTATAACAAAACTTTACAAGTATTACAAGGCTATTTCTATTACCCAGATCAACCCTTTGTCCTCCTGCAACCGCTTGCAAATTTCGCGGTCCCTTAAGGACATTATCAGTAATATTGTTCTTAATCTATACACCTGTGTTATTTTTTTATGCCTCATTAAATGTGATAAAATAGCTACCATTAATGACTTTTCATAGCTTTAAATTTTCTTAAGTACTGCAGTGTTGTTCGAATCAGTCACCAATTTTTTTGCTAAAAGATTTTTCTTTAAACATTTTTTTAAAGCTCTAGAGGTATTTCAAGTGACCAAGAAATTTTTATTTCAACATGATCCTCATTTAGATCAAGATAGAAGGGTGAGAAATTGCATTTTTCAAATAATTTTATGATTGTCATTGTGAAAAATGAAAAGAATGTTATCTTGATTTTTTAACATTTTCCTTTTTTTGTTTTAAAATTTTTTTTAAAAAGGCATTCACTTCATTGAAAAATTAATGCTTCCAGTGTTTTTTTAAGTCCCCTAGTACATGGCACAAATAGTCTTTAAGTCCCCTGGTACATGCCATAAACATACAAAGATGTAATTGATGAACTTACAACAAGGTGTAGGTGATTATAATCTAAAAATGTACTAAATGGTCCATTTGGCTCAGTACATCTATGAAATATACTTATTGAACTGAATGATGTGGTGCAATAAAAATTCATATGGATTGTAAATTGCAATTTTTTCAAATAACATTTAGTGACTCATCATTTTTTAAATTTAATATTTATTTCATTCTGTAATGACTTTTGAACTATAAACCAAAAGTGCTAGTTTCATATGCTTTTTACCACATTAGGGAAACTACACTAGAATAGAAATATATATTAGGAATTTTATTGTGTTTCAAGTCATAGAATATGTGTTATGTTATTGATTGTGAGAAAATCTTTTCATGTTGACAGAGATTTGAATACCTATGTCGGTACATCCTTGCAACCATGGAGTGTGACGTCTTAAAAGTTAGTAGCCCTTGTTTGTTAAACTATTCAATGTTAATGATTTATAGCAGCACTACCATATTTTTCCCAAGCCAAAATTCTAAAAAACAGATTTTTTTAAAAAGCAATTTAAAAAGTAAAGGGTCATTTGATGAAGGATAAGAAATAGGTATTCTCTTACAAATTATATAAACAGTACTTTCTTTTTATTTTCAGTACTGCTATGTGTCAGTATCTTTTAACAAGCAGTTTACACTTGCCTGGATTGCACAACTCAAATCTCTACTATGGAAATGTTGTCAGTATTTTTACACACTAAGGGTAAGTTGATCATTTTAAGATAAATAGAGCAAAAGGTGTATGAAGTTTGACTTTAAAAAAAAGAAACATTTGGGACAAAAACCTGAATCAGCAGACAAAATGGACCAGTAAAACTAAGTATAAAATGAAAAGAAGCATGACAGCTTCTCTTGTTAGAAAGGCCTGTTCTACTACTCCAATGTTCCACTGCATCACTGGTTCACTACTCCACTGTTCCACTACACCACTGTTTCACACTAATACAAATGTGTTTTTGTGTCTATATAAGCAGAGTATGGCTAAAAATTGCACTTGTAAACCTTCAGTCTTTCTAAATAAGAATGAAACATCATATTGAAGTAATCTAAATCTTTTGAACAATATCTTAGCCTGAGAACCATAATGACATTCGGACTGTGAAGGTCCTACTGAGCATGCTGGTGACATTTACTTCTCACACCAATTGGGTGGCATTCAAAGATAAAGAGAGTAAGTCACTTTTGATAAGACCTAAATGATCGGTTATGGCACATTTTATGGCCCACCTTGAAACATTAAACTAATTAAGTGCAGAAAAAATAATGTAAACGCTATTCTATATTATCTATTTCATTAAAACATGAACTTTAATTTTACAACTATATGAAAATGATAAAATCAATTTTGTTGTTTCAGATCTACACCCTGGTTTTTCTAAGCTTTGTGAAAATGTAATGGGAGACTTGAATAGCAGAGGACTTTACACGGCTCTGGAGGTATTGCTGACACATAAGCAGCAAACATTTAAATTCATTGTGAAAGTTATGTTCTCAGAATTATAAGATCTGGGATAGAGTTAAGAGATTTAACATTTAGATGTCTGAGAGTACTTCATCTAGCAACGATGGGGATGCTGAAATTATTCATTTTCCCCTGATGATAGATGATGATTTAAGTATGAGTCAGGGCTATCATTTCTGATTTTATGACTTCTAGGGGAAATGGCTGTATGCTTAAATTTCATTTTGTGGGACAACACATGTTTTCAAAGACTACAATTTGTGAAAAATTTACAAACATGAGCTAATTTCTGGCACAAAATGATGAATATAATTAGATTTATTAATTTTAAAAGTATAGTGAGTCATTTAATTCAGAGTCATTCAATTTAGAGCAGGATTCGTTGTTGATCAACGAATCTAACATGGGGAGGCTACTCTTCTCTTCAACTTTTCATAAAATCTTTTTCAGGCATTGTTGAGGAAAGGGTTATGTCGAGCCAAGATAGTGTTCAACAAAGCCTCACTCACTGCAATCATTACAGTGTCTTTGAGGTAAGAATAATATCCTCAGAAACATATTTAATTTTTCTTCTTGTTGATTATTGCTCACACAAAAAAACATGTGTGAAAATTAATTTAACAGTGCATTGGTTGAGAAGAGTGTCATTGCTGATGAACTCTCTTCTTCCTTTGCTTGGCAGACTACAGGAGTATTATTCATAATTAATTATTTCAACATGTATATAAATAATTATTAATCTTAAAGATAAATCAGTTGTTAAGTATATCTTTTTGACAGAGGAAAAAAAAAATAAACCTCACTTTATTCTATTGACAGACCTCTGATGGCTGCCAATTTCTCCACCAACTTACTGAGTGCATTCCTACTCCATGTGCTTTCAGTGCCCGCAGTAGTCATCCATGTCAATACAATTGCTAAAGATGTAATTACTTCATTTGAATTCATAGTTTATATGTTTCACTCTCCATCATTCAACTAGCCTCACTCCCCACATAATTGGACCATACGACATCGAGTTGAAGATTGAATATTCAGGGTTTAGTGAACGGGCACCCTTGAAATGTTATATTGATTTAACTTATTTCACTTTAATAGGAGTCTATAATTTTTGGCATTTTGAAGAGGACAAAGAATAAGCCAAGCTAAAATGGAATAATTTGATAAATCTTCTATTAAAGAAAATCTCAATCCGTTTTACATTAATTTTGTAATCCCATTAAAATCATTATAAAATCATTTGTTGTTGAAATGATGAGTGTTTTTTTTTTTTACCTCTTTACATTTGTTTCTGTAACCAAAGTGTATTGCAACAATGGTGACCAGCCGGATATTCAAGAGATGCCTTGATCTGCTCACATGTGAGCAAAGCACTAGAATAATATTCAACTCTCTGGAAGGCAACTACGCACTGTGTCTCATGGGTCTGTGAAAACATTCTTTGGTTCATCCTTTAGTAATGTAGGCGTTGCTTTTTTAATGAATCTCTTCAATAATGTGTATAATTTAGTATTATTTTAAAAAAAAACAACACTATTTGCACCACCATTTTTTTATAATAGCTTAATGTTTCATTCAATATTTTTATATCAACAGCAAATTTAATCCAGCTTGGCTTTGTTGAAATGGAGGTAAGATTGCCCACTGTGTGCTGCTTTAAGTCTAGTTTGAGAATAGTTAATATTCAGGATAATCCAACCATAACTCTGTTCAGAATTAATTATTCCCTTCCTATAAAGATGAAATCTGAGAAAGGCTTTACCATGTAATGGAATCAATTAACCGAAAAATTGGGGGATGCCATTTGCTGTAACATTCAATGATATAATTTTCAAACGGAATGGCTAAACATTACAAAAGTTCTAATATGAATGTTTTGACAAAAAAAACTCTCATTACTTTCCACGTTGGGGGGAAATAAATATACACTGTATTATCTTGCATGTATACAGTGCAGTTATTATACTTTGAATCAACTCAACTATTTTTGGCATGTTTTTTTTATAACATTCAATGATATAATGTTCAAACCGAATGGCTAAACATTACAAAAGTTCTAATATGAATGTTTTGACAAAAAAACTCTCATCACTTTCCAAGTTGGGGGGGAAATAAATTATACACTGTATCATCTTGCATGTATAATATGGTGCAGTAATTATATTTTGAATCAACTCAACTGTTTTTGGACTAACCGATCACTTTGTTTCTCTTTTTTTTTTCCCCCCAGGGTCTGGTTGAAAACACAGTGGACTTTATGGTAGATCTTGTTTGTCCGTTTTAGAAAACTTGAATTGTTAGTACTTTTATTATCTGCCTTTCCCACATTTAACTGACTTAGATTTGGTAGATTCATGCTCTGGCTCACCTTTGTTGATCCTTTTATGATCAGTCGGTGATGATTCGCCTGCTTGAAAGCTGCCACAAGTACGTCCAAAACAAGAAGTCCAACCTGACCCATTGGCACCCTGTCCTCGGCTGGTTCTCACAGAACACGGATGTCAGGTGACGTGTGCACTCGGTTTTACTCTTTTGAATTTTGCTCTGCCGCATTAGTTTCTTTTCTTTGATCTTTAACTTTTATTTCAGTTAATGCAAATAGCAAATATATTTTGTTTTCTTTTCTTCCCCTAAAATTGTTCATTTATTTATCTGATTAAAGTTGAATAGTGATTTATAAAATCGCCTGTTAAACAGCTGGGCAGGACGGCTGGTTAAACAGCTGGGCAGGACAGCTGGTTAAATAGCTGGGCAGGACGGCTGGTTAAATAGCTGGGCAGGACGGCTGGTTAAATAGCTGGGCAGGACGGCTGGTTAAATAGCTGGGCAGGACGGCAGGTTAAATAGCTGGGCAGGACGGCTGGTTAAATAGCTGGGCAGGACGGCTAGTTAAATAGCTTGGCAGGACGGCTGGTTAAATAGCTGGGCAGGACGGCTGGTTAAAAAGCTGGGCAGGATGGCGGGTTAAATAGCTGGGCAGGATGGCTGTTGAATTTGATGCCTTTCTGTGACCCATACAAATATCTTGTAGCTCATGTTTATGTAATATCAATTTTGACCGATTTACAGCCTCCATGAATCGATGCCGAATGTCGTACGCCAGCTTCAGTTGCTGTGGAGTGACAAGATGATTCGCCTCATGTTTGCTGTACTATTGGAATACACAGAAACGAGTCCTGTCCTTGACCCTGATCAAATGCCTCCCAAACATAAAAGTTAGTTTGTGTATTGTTGCTTGTCACAATAATAATATAGCACAGGGGACTAAATTGAAATTACTGAGCTTTCAAAAAAAAGTTATTATATTTTATACCTTTTTCCACCTGTAACAACATCATTGTACAACATGTTGGATAATAAATGTTTGAAAATAGAGTTGTTTTAATTCAACTGAACTAACAAGTTTTTTTTTATGAAAGATATTTTTTCTGCACTGTTTGTTAAAAAATTTTGTTATTTTAAGTCTTTGTGGGCGAATGTCACTCCTATAATTCAAAGTGATTATTTTACATACGTATATACTCGCATATAAGACTACATTGCATATAAGCCGACCCCATGGCCAGTTTTTGCAAAAACCTGCATATAAGCCGACGATACAATTGTCTAATTTTACTCCATATTTTTGGTTCATAGAAATTTGTTATTGTAAAGATGTAAAATGCTTACTTTTATGTTACATACCAGTTTGTTTACCTTTTGGAATGACACAAAAACGTGTTCTGCTCTTTCCACATTTTTTGCTATAATAATATCTGAACTTCCGCTCATAAGTTATTCACAACTAATGATTAACGAAGTATATATTTAGAAAAAATTACACATTTGATATGAATAAAGACAAAAATTCTTTTGTTGTTTTTTATTTATTCACAAAAAACGATCACATTTCTGTTTATAATTTACCGTACTGTTCTTACAAATAATTAGAACCCTTCAAAATCATTGTCACTATCACCCTCATCATAGAGTATTAGTTAGGAAACCCTAGATATAGGAACATTTTCTGTTTTTTAGTATTTTTTCTTAATTTTATGCCATTTTTGACTTGGATAATGAATTCTCAATGGTAATATTCATACTCAGTATAATTATCAGCTATGCATACATTAAATTCTTTGAAGTGACACCTCTGTATTTATATATTAGTACTCTGTACACACAACCAAGTAAAGAGTCAGATAGCGATGAAAATGTATGGCTGGAAAATTGGCATTAGTCTCTGTCCTTGTGTCCATTTGTTTTATGCGCATATAAGCCGACAACCTGATTTCAGTATTGTATTATTTAGTTCTTAATTCGGCTTATATGCGAGTATATACGGTAATTTTTAGTGTAATAATCTAATTCTGATTCAAGTAATTTTTTAAAAACTGTATAAAGTATTTATTGCTGAAATCATCTCTTATGAGTTTTCCCATTTTTCAGGCATATTGAAGAAAGCACTCAGCAAAGCTTCATCCAACAAACTGTCAACAGTTCAAAAAATCAAGCTGGACAGTGGAATAGCCTTCAGCACTTGTCTCCCTTGTTCCTTGTATCGGCAAACTATCAACACACTGACACAGCTAAAAATGGATATACTAGGAGGTCAGTGGCTATTATATTATGAACACTAAAAAAATTAAATTTCAAATTCTTCAAAAATGAAAATTGAAAAAAAATTTTTGTTATATTTGTTATTGATATAGAAATATGTTTGTGTTTTGCAAGGAAGTTTGCAAGATTTAATTATATTACTTTGTTGCCAGGCTTTAAAAGCCATCACAGATTAAATTATTCCAATTTAAAAGAATATTAAAATAATTCACTTTAACTTTTAGTCATTTTAAAACCATATGTTTCTTGGACACCCCCCAACCCAACCCCCAGGTCTAGCATACAATGATGTACTGTTGCCCATCTTGTGGAGGTTTCTCTGTGACCTTGGCCCACATTGTGGATTAAAGATATTCCTTGAGCTGTTGTCTCAGGCCCCCAACTCCACCATACATCCAGTATTCAGCCTCTTGTCACTGTTCTGTGAGACTGCATCACATATGATCACGTGAGCACTCATAATATTAGTCAAACATTTTTAATGGAAAATAATTTTAAAAAAATCTATTTCAGTTTCATTGTAATATGTCTTTAATTAGAAAGCATCTTGTTAAGTTTGTCTACTTTTATTGATACAATATCCATACTAATATTAGAAGGACAAACAAACAAAACGCTGTGCTCCAGCAAAGTAAGGGAATGGGCATCAGTGCAGAGAGTACAGTTTTTAAAAAACATAGGTTAATTTTTATTGTACCTTATATTAAACTGTACGTTTCACTCATTTTGTTTATAAGACATATCTACATTTACATACATTTAAAAAATAAAATTTAAATTTGTATGAAATTAAACTGTAAGGTCAAAGGTTGGCCCAATGAGATTAAATTTTAACAAAGAACACCAACTGCTCAACACTTAAAACCTAGTATCTCTGAGATAAAAAAACGGAAATGAGTTAAACAAGTGTGGTCAAACCTGAAAAAAGGAACGCAACAAAACATCAAACGTGTCGGTCAAAAGCCTTTGTCGGAGAACAAAAAACAGAAAAAAAAAGAATAAAATTTAAAAATAGCACTCAGAAGTATCCAAGAGGACAGCAAAAGAATTGTGACAGAAAATAAGTACTGTATTTTCACACATATAAGATGCACTTGTATATAAGACGCACCCATGTATAAGACACACCCATATATAAGAGCAGGTTTTTACAATGTGTGTAAAAAAAATTTTGTATAAGGGGCTACCATATATAAGACACACCATGGGTGCAGGGTACGTCAAACTTTGTATAAGACGTGTCTTATATACGCGAAAATATGGTAGGTGAGAGATTAAATACAGTCAAAAGGGGAAAGAAAAGAGGAGAAGTCGGTCCACCATGATTGGTCATGACGTGGAGGGGGCGGGGCAAAGGCTGCTTGAGCTGTGAATAAAGACATGATGTGCTTACCATGTGGTTTCAAGGTTCCATAGGTCAGGATAAGCTTGTCTTCCAAATCCATCCGGCGGGGTGTGTTTGCGCTGGTCACGATCGCACTAATTGTAAAATTCGCTCTGCCCTTGTGGTCGCTTCTGTTGAAGTGTTTAGAGATGGGACACTCTCTAAAATCTCTGAGATAGCAAATCGCTTATGACTGTAGTACCTCTTTCAAAAAAAAACCCCAAAACAACCTAACACCTCTTTGCACAAGCTCCCCATCTTTTGACATGCCAGTATCTACCCTATCCTTTATATGTGCCCGTTATTTAAGGAAATACTTTTAACTTTAAATGTGGCATGCTGTTACATATAGCGTGGAAACCACTGTACTTATTTCGTTTTTTAATATTTGAGTTCAGTATACTTGACGACACTGAAATGTTGGAGCAGCAAAAGGTATTCAGGATGTCAGACTATGTCAAGATGAGCGAGTTTCTCAACATGTTCATCTTCAAAGTCATATGGGGCGCACTTATTAGTAAGTCATAGAAATGCATCTGTAGTCAATGTGTCATGAACAATGTCTGTAAAGTCAAAATAACAATCAGTCATTTTGGCATTTTTAATACATTTTTTTTTTTTTTTTGTATTTGTATTTTATTAAAAATTCTTTGCCATTTATTTTTAAATTTTAGAATTAGTTTACTTGGAAAAATTGTTCTATACCTCAATTTCTTCTGCTGATGATGTGTCCTTGACTACCTCTATTCAGCTTTGGACCAAGCCCCTAACTGTGATGTGTTTACCTCAACGCTGACTCTTCTCATGATACTTCATAACAGAGACAGTCGACGGAACTTTACCGGTCCTAACCACTGGCTCATTAGGTAAACATTTGTACAGGTACTCCCTGCACATTCAGAAAAACAAACATATATATAACATATTGTTAAGAGTGTAGGCCACACATGATTATAAACCCACACGTTTGAGGTTTAATGATATTTTAAAGCAAATATTAATTTTTTTCAACTGAAAGAAAAATATAGATTAGTATAAAAGTAAAACAGTATTATAATGAATTATTATAAAGACATGTATTTTAACATTTTCGGTAGCCCTGCTTTCGACAGCATATGTTATATCCTCAGAAATATTGAAAGTTATTTTGTAACAACTCCCACCCAACCACAACATATTGTTCACATATACCAGCATGTTTTTCATGTTCCACAGTGCCTCCTATTTTCCCTCAAAATTTATTAATAATATACAGTGGAGAATCCCAGTATGATTTTTTATTTTCTTTCTTTAATACTTGTACATATACAATGGCATGTTGTCCACATAGTGGACATTGGCATGTTGTTAACATATATTGGCATGTTGCTCACATATAATATTATTTTTAAATCTTATCACGTTTTGCCTTGTCCTGATTGTAGAACACACCTCAAGGTTTGAAAACTCACATCAAGGGAAAGATGTTGGTCAATGCTCTGAACAATACAGTTTAACATACTCTGATGTGACCTGTGCTTGTCCATAGACTATCTCAAACTTTATTTTCACAATGCAAATACCGAACATGGCGATCATTTTTTTTTTTTTTTCGCTATTCACATTTGAACTTTTGTTTCTTTCAGGGATGTCAAACCAAGTCATTTTATGTCAGAGCTGGAGAAGGACAAGAAAACGGCTCTATTCCTTATGCAAAAAGTTCCCCACATCATTCCATTTAATGAGGCAAGTTTTAAGGTGTTTCGGTGTTGCCAACAATTTACTATTATCACTTTTTAAGACCCCAAACAATTTGCTTTTTCTTACACTGCTGACACTGAAAACCTCAGAGGGAAAATCAGTGGTTGTAGATTTAATGTCACAGATCTTAATGAGAACTAATAAGTCCCTAAAAATGGCTAAGAGAACTCATTGAATGGCTGCTAGTGAAAAAATGTATTACAAATGTCTTGTGTTCAAATTGTTTTTTTTATATGTGCTGAAAATGTACAATGCAATCATAAAACATGTCCATTTGTTTGGATCAATAAAAGAATCTTATCTTAATTTTAACATTTCAATGAATGATACTGGTGTTTTAAATTTAGAGGCAGTAGTAAGTCGAAGCACTAGAAGAAGTGAGGGAATCATCATGCTGGATGATTGGTTAATTTCCAGGGTCACTGACTCAACGTATCGGTAGATAATAACCACAAGCAAAATAAAGTTGATTGCATGTCAAAGAGGTAGAGGTAAACATCTCTTAGCCAGCAAAATGTCGGCTCTGCTAAGAATGCTGAAAGAGATGAGGACTTAAAATGAAACTAAAATTGCACATACACAAATATGTAATGATATATACATGTGTCAATGAGTTATCAAAGTTGTCTGCAATCTGGTTTTTCTTTTTGCAGTTGATGAAACCTCTGTCTTTTCCTTACTAATAATCACTCTCACTCAACTTTATTTGCTGACATGATTGTTTGTTCCCGTTTATAATTAATCACATAAGTTAATTTATTATTTTCGCACCCATGGTCCACAGCGTGTGATTATCTTCAGGAAGAATGTAATGAGAGAGAAGGAGTTAATGGGCCTAACGGAGTCATCATGTACATCAGCACAGTCCACACTAATAACTGTTCATCGGAGCCGAATTGTGGAGGCAGGTTTTTTTTACAAACGTTTCTTCATAAATGAATTATTGCGTTTTTAATCCTAAGGAGAAGGTTGCAAGTAAAAGTGTGTCTTTTCATTTCTTATTTAAGTTATTACCGTAAATATTAGATTATATAGCAGACTGGAAAGAGAGACGACAGCAAGAGGCCTGAAGCTTGGAAAGAAATATTCTCCGCTGGGAGTTGAAAAGACAAAGAGATGAATTTAATAGCGGTGTTCGTGTACTCTCTTAAATTGTATTTTATTTAATATCTTGTAACACTCAAAGATTCATTTCTTTCACTTGTATATTCTTTTTCTTTACAGGATGGATATCGGCAATTGGCGCAACTACCTGGGCGAGCTCTGAAAGGAGTTATTCGTGTAAAATTTATCAATGAAATGGTAATTTAATTTTTTTATTAAAATGTAAACTGATTCTTTTCATTAGAATGGATCATTCGGAATCAGGTAATGTAAAAAATGTCAAAGTTATTATCTGCTCCATACCAGAATATCTTTAAATCTCTTAAAACCCAAAAGTACTGGGTATATGAAACCTACCTTGACAAAATATAATAACCTTTTTTAACCATATTATTCACCTAATTTATTTCAAAATTAAGCATTATACTTCTATACGGTGAACTGTAACTTGCAGGGCCTTGATGAAGCTGGCATTGACCAAGACGGTGTTTTTAAAGAATTTCTAGAGGAGACCATCAGCAAGGTTTTTGATCCACACTTAAACTTGTTTAAAGTAAGTTGTTATCGTACTTTTATTTTTTTTTTAAACTGAAAGATCTGTGAAAAATGGCCAAATCCCAAGGCGTCACCTGTGTGACTCAACAGTCTTCCTATTTGTATGCTCTCAGGTGACAAGTGAACAGAAGCTCTACCCTTCCTCCACATCATATATACAGGACAGCCACCTCCAGTTGTTTGAGTTTGTTGGAAAGATGCTAGCAAAAGCCGTCTACGAGGTTTGTTGTATCAGGATTGTTTCACAACATTTACTTGAATTAGCTGAGGGAGCAAAAATTAGTTTTATTCTATAAAAAATTAGTTTTCAAAACCTAGCAATAGCAGAACAGTGAAGCTATAAACAGATTTAACTTTTTAAAATTGTCCAAAAACTTAAATCTTAAACCAAGTCCCCTTAACTCCATAACCTCCAAATCTGGACAGTAATGATTCTACCCCTAAACAAACCAAAGCCATCTGCCCGACACGCTTTAATCATAGAGCAGAACTCTTTCTAATCTCGGGCAGCTCACTTCCATTGTATCGATTGGGGAAAGAGTATTTATAAGCTGTCTGGTTATTGTCATAGTTTTACATTTAAGAACTGAGGCTTAATTAAGTGGCTAATTCCCCAGCCTAAAATACAGTACTAGGTGACTTTCAATTCTAATAGATGTTTGTCAAATTTCCAGGGCATTATTGTAGACGTTCCGTTTGCACCATTCTTCCTGACTCAAATCCTAGGACACTTGCAGAGTGCTACTTACAGTCCTTTGGATGAGTTGCCCTCCCTTGATAGTGACCTTGCTAAGTCCCTGTCCTACATAAAGGTATTACATATATTGCCATTTTTGTCTTTCATAAATATAAACGGATGGAAAGGATCAACTGATTAAAAAAATATATATATAATGATTAATCATAACTGTTCCCATAATTTTATTTAAATTCCAGAGGGTGTTTAATTATTAAATACCAAAAATGAATTTTTTGATTGATTTTTTGTTTTGTTGCTATATGGCTGTTATTTTAATTAAATAATTTATGTTATTTTTTAATGTCATGATTATTTTTGCTAAAACTGTTATGTACAGCGCGGTGGGCCCAGCCCTAGTGGTACAAAAGACCTCTAATAATAATAATAATAAATCAAAACCTCATTAATTATATACACAATTATAGTTAAATTAATTAAATCAACCAATTCATGAAAACTGTATTTGGATATTCTAAAGTGGTAGTACATTCATTTTGGAAAGGGTAAACTAAATCAGTTTTTAAAAGCCTAGTTAAGCCCCTTGATATTTGATGGGTTTTGACAAAGGAAATAAAAATATGGTTCACAACTTTTTCAGCACTACGATGGAGATATATGTGATCTGGAGCTGACTTTCTCCTGTGATGAAGACATCCTGGGTAGAATAGTCACACATGAGCTGGTCCCTGGGGGTAAAGCCATTCAAGTTACCAATGAAAACAAGTTTGTATTTTGTGTATGATTTTATTGCATGGCAGATCAAATTGACCAAGTATAAAGATTGCTGTTCCTTTTTAAAATTAGTTATTCCATAAATGGTATTCTAAAAGTAGGTGTACACAACCTGTGCCTTGAAAATTTTAAGAACTGTATCTTAAATAAAATAATTTAAAAAAATTATATACATTTTTAATTGTGATCAATCCAATTAAGTCCTTCTATAAATTTTCTCAATGTGGCTGGGGCACTGCCATTTGTGAGTTCATTTTGAAAAAAAATAAGTTAAGAATCATCCGTGTTAATCTTTGTTTTTTATTTAATCCAATGAAATCTTTCAGGATAAGATATGTTCACCTGATGGCCCACCATCGCATGTATAGACAGATAAGGGAGCAAACTCTTGCTTTTGTGAAAGGGTTCAAATCTGTTGTCAACCCTGATTGGCTAAGCATGTTTTCTGCCCCAGAATTACAAAAACTCATTTCAGGAGACAGTGACTCTCTTGATATGGATGATTTGAGGTATTTTATAGGGGGGGGGGGGGGGGGGGGGGGGGGGGGGGGGCGCTATTATACACCACAGTGAACTGTTGTATTAAAAGCTGTCAAAATTTGTTAACTAAAAAATAAAATACATGAATGTATGAAGAAAATTCCCTCTAATGAACAAATAATAGATAAAGCATGCAAGAGCTCAACAAAATGGCAATAGGTGTACATGTTATTCATTGAGAGATAAACCACCACTTCCAGTTGAGGTTGCTTCACTCATACTTGTGAAATGTTCTCTATTTAAAGAAAAAACCCTCACACACAAATGTATGGTAAAGTAAACCTTGTCTCCTCCACTATCCTCGTTTTATTTACTAAACTGCTCTATGAAATTATGTGCAGACGTCACACTCAGTACTATGGTGGATATCACAACAACCACAAAGTCATCAACTGGCTGTGGGATATTGTAGAGAATGATCTCACCACTGAAGAGAAGGGACTTTTCCTTAAGGTAATCTCCCTTGTATACTTTGAAACCGATGGCATGGATGTCTGGTTAGATTTGTAAAATTTAATAACCACAGAAATAAACATTATTTTAAATATGTAGATGATATTTATTTTTTTTTTTTTTTTTTTTTTTTTTTTTTTTTTTTTTTTTTTTTTTTTTTTTTTTTTTTTTTTTTTTTTTTTTTTTTTTTTTTTTTTTTTACTAAACTTTCACTCTAAAGGGATATAATCATAGTTTGCCCTTAGGCGTAGGATGAAATTTCAATGTTGAAAAATTGTAATTTAATTTTGTTTAATCAGGTGTTGATAACAATTACTGGTATGTCAATTAAAAATATTTTTTTAAAATTAAAACAAGAGTAAGAATAAAATGTAACTTCCTAAAACATGCTTTAATTGAACATTTTAACAAATAGTCATGCTCATAGCTTTCACAAAAATGTAATACCATATTTCAAATAAAAGCTTGTTTTCAACCCAAGAATGTACATTAATGATAATGAAAACTTTATGTTGCAAAAATTTTCAGTCACATTGAACCAAAATTTACAACTTACCAACCTACAATGTAGATTTTTCAATAATATTTTTATGTATGATAACAGTATGTCTTCAATTATTATAGTTTGTGACAAGCTGTTCGAAACCTCCCTTATTAGGATTTGCTCACATGGAGCCCCCATTCTCAATAAGATGTGTGGAATTTCAATAATATTTTTATGTATGATAACAGTATGTCTTCAATTATTATAGTTTGTGACAAGCTGTTCGAAACCTCCCTTATTAGGATTTGCTCACATGGAGCCCCCATTCTCAATAAGATGTGTGGACGTTAGTGATGATCAGGTTTGTCAGAAACTTTTTGATCTATTATAGATTTTTTTTACAATCCAAAAACAGTTTTTTTGTAATCTTTCTATTTCTAATTATTTTAAGAAAAAATTAATTAGTCAAATATAAATTACCAATATATTGCTACAAAAAATTAATGATTAAAAATGCAAATTCAAGTTATGGGTTTACATTATAAAAAATAATAATAAATTTTTATTGATCAAGAAGTATTTGAACATAACATGTTCACTTTTTTCCTAAATGGTTAAATCACAACTTTTAAATAAGAATAGATCCTTTAACATTAAAAGTAATATTTTCATCAAATTTTGAGTTTTTACTTTAATGCAAGGCAATTTTCTCAAAAAATGAACTCGGATGATGAATTTAATCGTATTTTATATATATTTAATGATAAGGTATCGTTTACTTATGCTAGATCTAGTAAGACAGATTCCTAATTTGAATTTAAATTTCAATAATATTTTTATGTATGATAACAGTATGTCTTCAATTATTATAGTTTGTGACAAGCTGTTCGAAACCTCCCTTATTAGGATTTGCTCACATGGAGCCCCCATTCTCAATAAGATGTGTGGAAGTTAGTGATGATCAGGTTTGTCAGAAACTTTTTGATCTATTATAGATTTTTTTTACAATCCAAAAACAGTTTTTTTGTAATCTTTCTAATTATTTTAAGAAAAAATTAATTAGTCAAATATAAATTACCAATATATTGCTACAAAAAATTAATGATTAAAAATGCAAATTCAAGTTATGGGTTTACATTATAAGAAATAATAATAAATTTTTATTGATCAAGAAGTATTTGAACATAACATGTTCAATTTTTTCCTAAATGGTTAAATCACAACTTTTAAATAAGAATAGATCCTTTAACATTAAAAGTAATATTTTCATCAAATTTTGAGTTTTTACTTTGATGCAAGGCAATTTTCTCAAAAAATGAACTCGGATGATGAATTTAATCGTATTTTATATATATTTAATGATAAGGTATCGTTTACTTATGCTAGATCTAGTAAGACAGATTCCTAATTTGAATTTAAATCAAGCAAAATAAATTTTGTTGATCTTGAAAAAGTTATTGAGTTTACTGCCAATATAATCTCAAGTTTCACCATTCTATGGGGAAAACAACATGTTAAGGAACTTATGAAAGAAGATAAATGAGTCTCATGATTCCATGGACTTGACTTTAAGGGCCTTTTTCAAACATAAGTTAGGGCTTCTCCTTACATGTGCATTGTGTTATATTCAGTAAAATAAAGTAATATGCAAGAGTTTGTTATTTCACATTAAAAGTTTTATTTAAAAAATAAAAGTGCTAATTTTACTTCCTTAAACTAAAAAAAACTAAACTTAAATTTATTAGTCTCTGTATTGGTACAAAGTAGGACCGTTTATTTATGTACCCCATTAACCTAGCCCTATCAGCTTACTACCTTCCAGGAAGGGTGACTGTGACACGTTGTTATCCTATAATTGCCGGACATGTCTACCATGGACGTTGACCTACATTTAAGGTCAAGCCATGCGAAACGATTCAGATTCAGTATTAGTACTGGGTGTATTCCCTACAGTTAGAGAGAGACAAGATGAGCATATCGATGCGTGACTAGCTTTCCATTGCATTATCTAAATACTAGCTAGGGACATCCAATAGTTAGCAGCAATAATAATTCAAGGAACTTAGACTTGTGATAGTAATTTTTATATTACTTTGAGATTTAGATATTGTTAGTGTTAGACCTGTATTCATTTCTTTGTATGTAGATTGTATGTATCTTTATTCATCTGATATTTCATGTAATAAAGTACAATTATATAGAACACTGATTGTCTTAATTTTAGCCAATAGTGTGTCTAAAATCTACCTGTGAAAGCCCCTTTTCAAATTCCCTAGACCACGAGCTTGTTCAAATTCATTGAACACAATAAAGGGTGTAACATTATTCACAAATGGATGCATGATATTTTTAATGTGATTACTAAAATCCCTTATTTGAGACTTTGCTTTGTATTATATTATAAAACTTTTTGTAAACTGACCTACCTATATCAGAACAGAAAGGTCATGCATAATAAATATGTACATGTCCTTATCCTCTAGGACACCGGTGACACAGTTGGCTCAGTACTTAAAGGTTTTTTTAACATCAAAAAGAAAGATGCTGGCGGCCGTCTACCTACCTCCTCCACCTGCTTTAATCTACTGAAACTTCCAAACTACTCCAAAAAGTCAATCCTGCGTGAAAAGCTGAGATACGCTATTCATTCTCATTCTGGATTTGAGATTTCTTGATATTACCAGCTATTTTTACATGTCTTATTGTTTCCTGTAGAAGAATCTGGTGATATATTTGTTACAATTTTTAACTTTCTACTGTAACCTAACAAGACCATCAGGTATTGTCATAGGGAATTACTGTTGCACTGACACCACTCCAAAAAAAGAACAATTTTTTTTACAGCGTTTGAATTTATTGACATGTTATGGTGTGCATTTTTACACTATTAAACTTTCAAGCAATTTTTAATAGTTGATACCTTATTAAAGAAAAAAAATATACAGTATTTACACTTGGCTAAAACTTAATTACTTGTACATAATTTGAACCAGAATGATGGATGGCTTTATAAATAAATTTTCTTGTACATATTTATTAATATAATTGTTGTACAATTAAATGGATCTGATTGTATCATAAATTAAAGAGCTTCTTCTGCATGCTCTAAAGGAAAATAAAAACTATGCTTCAACAAATTAAATAGTTTTAAGCACCACATTATATATTTCTATTCATCAATCTAAACATATGCCCATTGCTAATTTTCTTCATACATGTTTAAAGATTGAATCATTGAACCAGTGCGAAAATTAGAAATTCCATCTAATTACTTAACCAGCCATCTAAATAATTTTTGTAACTTGGACCTCTGAAATTGTACATGTGATATTCTGCTTTGAACTAATAAATAGCCTCATAAATATACAAATTCTATGTTGTTATTTTGTGGAAAGTTTAGACTTGTTCAGTCATATATAAACAGCAGATCTAATGATTAGTACTTCCCAAATTTACATTAAAAAATTTGACATTACTTTGTAATGACAGTGCATTAAAATTTGTTATCTTGTGTAGGATCTTCAGTATAATTTGTAAATTCAATATATATATATATATATATATATATATATATATATATATATATATATATATATTTGTATGTGTGTGTGTATGTGTATATATATATGTATATATATAAATTTAATATCTTTTTATATTTTATAAATTATATATATATATATATATATATATATATATATATATATATATATATATATATATATATTTGTATGTGTGTATGTATGTGTATGTATAAATGAAGATATAAAAATTTAATATCTTTTCTATTTTGTGACCGAAGTGTTCTGTTAGCTCCCTCCCAAACATATTTTGTTCTGTTTCTCCTCAGGAGTGCAGTTGATACAAATTAAGAAAATAGATTTAGCTTTTATTTTACTTTTAGTTTTCTACTAATACTTAACAAAAAATCATGTTAAGATTTTCATTATTAAAAAACTTAAAATATCATGTTTCCAGTTTCTTTCATGACAGATTTAGTCTGCTTTGACAGCTAATTTTCAAGACATTCCATTGGTTGATTTTACTCACTCTATTTTTCATCACTTAATATGAAACAAACATGTTGAAAGTTAACTTTAAATAAATATTTATTTGTCCTCTTATCTATATGAAAAATACAACTCTTTTATGATTTGATCCAGATTGTATTAATGTCATTTACTTAGAACTGTTGCATTCTTATTTAAACTTTTGGACATTTTAGTAGAAGTTACATAATTTTTACTATTATAATTCAAACTAAATAAGATAAAATAATTTTTTGTTTAGCAAATAATTAATCATGGCTATTTTTCATATCAGAAAAGTGTTTTTCTGGTTGGTTTCTTAAAATATAAATTTTTTAAAGCTGAGACTCTATAACTTCACTGTTGGACTGCCATTTACAACTACAACTCTGAATAAGTAAAGTTGTCATGCATGAATAATGATAGTAGGTTTGGGATTCCACTGCAATACAATGGTTATGCATCGCCTAGATGTCATTCTGGATCTAGGTAGGCTTTTTTTTTTATTCTGCTGGATAGGAACTCAGTTCTGCTTTTAAATGTGCAGCTGCTATTTGAAACAGATTTTAGGATGCAAATGCAAATTTTCTGTGACATTTTTCGCAAATAAAATATATTATTTTCACTCTGCCAGGTCTTTTACAACTTTCACCCATTGGGACACATTATGCAAACAGTCATAAAATAAAAGAAATGATCGGGCGAAAATGAAAATGAGGGTGGAGATAGAGAATAAAATTACATGATTTTGTTGATCATAAACTAGAAGATAAGAATTGAAAGAAAATTAACTTGGTGAAAAGAGTGTCCAGTGTCTTTCTGAAACTCACTGTGTTTTTTTAAGGTGTTAAAACTGTAAGACATTGTAATACTATTTAACTTTGAGAAAAAGACATCTATTATTTATTTGTATTAAAAAAATTGTTGGTGGCAAGGATCAATGAGAATAGTTTTGAGTAATTTTAGAAATATAATGGACAATATCTGACTGGGGTCTTGATGGAAGTATTGTTTGAAGTCGGCCGTTTTTAGATTTTCTTTGTGTGTGTGTTTTGTTATGTCTTAATTAAGAAATATAGTTATTCTTTTCAAGGTTTAGTTTTTCTGTTTAGCTGACATTTATTCATTATCATTTTTAATTCATTACAATTATAATTTATGCATTGCTTTATGAAACTAGTCAGTGTACAGAAGAGTTGTGTCTTATTTGTAATTTGTTCAGTTTATTTACAATTATAATTTCTACTTTTAGAATGCTACATCACGGTAACATTTTCATGTTTCAAAATGATTTTTCTCATGAAATATAAGATGTTAGGATTTAAATTAAATGTTAACTCTTTCCGCGGGTTGGCACGAACACGACCAGTCAAATCGACAGTATACTGTCGATATCATTTATGTAGTTTATTTCGTTTCTTGTGGCTCTTAATCCTACTTTTTTTGTTCTTAAACGAAGGATAACTCTTACTACTTCCTTTTTTTAAGAAGTAGGGCATGTGTTTTTTCTAATAATAGTTCAATTTGTGTTGAACCTTTTGTAAACAAAGCCATGGCCACGCCCACTCCAAGCATGTCAGCTTTTGCTAGACCACGTAGGTAGTCAATTTTGCAAACAAAAGAAATTTTATTGCTAATTATTGATGCTGAAACAACAGACAATAACCATGAATCATTTGAATCTGATTTCAATGATGATTTTCAGCATTCTGATGGGTCGGTAAATGCCAAATGGAAATAATAATAGAATGGGGATAGTAATAGTGGTAACTGTCGGCACTCTAAAAAATTTCAAAACATTTTTTAAAATATAAAAATACCACGAATGGATAGAGCCTAGAGAATGGATTAAAAAAAAACCACTCAGATCAACTTTCTAGCTCAAGTAGTTCAAAAGTTAGGAATTTTTTTCAAAACCACTTTGTTACTATGGCAACTGAGGATTCAGATGAGAATACACCTAATCTTACAAAATTGGTATAACTCTGTAACAAAATGGAATATTTTCAAAATGTAAAATGCATTTTGATCAAAAATGGATATACTTTTTGGGGATTGAAGCAGAATAGGATATCAGCTACACAGACCTGATAGTAGTCTGATAAGTTCAGATTTGCAATTTTAAAAATATAAAAAATTTGATCTCACAATTTTACCTAAAAAATTTAACTTATTGTTGTTATATTGTTTTATATTTTACATATTATTATTCTCTGTCTAATTTCCTTTAATTTGATATGAAATACAGCTATCTTGCTAAAAGATATGTATTCAAAATTAATTAATAGATAGGAGCACCCTAAAAAATTTCCATTGGCCGAATACTGGTCTGGCACGAACGTGGAAAACCCCCTGGCACGGAAAGAGTTAATTTGATCTCTCCATAAATGATTTCATGCTATTTTTGTGCACCCCCCATCATCACAAACTATCACACAAAGTCGACACCCTCATCACAAATGTGACTAACACCCCAGCCCCCTAAAAAAAACTAGTTGCATGAAGACTAAGTAATCTTTTTATGGCCCCATATTTGTTAATGATCATTAAAAATAATATGTTCTAGAATGTGTTTGTCTTATCAGAAATTTTTATAGGAACCAATTTTTTTACACAAAGGTTATTTTGAAAATCCACATTTAAGCTTGAAAAGAAGACTTTGATGCTAATATATATTTTTTTATTCTGCATTACTTACGGTACATGAACAATTTGAGGTCACACCAATACTACTTGTTTTAGTTAATTTTTCATTCAGTTTTGATAGTACCTAAACAAATATTATTCTTAAAATCAGCACTTTTAAAAAAATCACAATGGCTAGTAGTAATAGGGATATTTCTTTTTATTTATAAAGTATGTGTTATTTTACAAATCCAAAATGATTGAAAATGTGAACATTTTATATTTCTACATGTACTCTGTGCATATTTAGGTTTCTATTAATATTATTCGATTTAAAAAATTAATTTCAATATTAAATGTTTAAATAATTAATACATTTCTATTAATACATTTGTACATTTGGACATTTGTTGAATAGATACCAAGGTAGAGATTTCTTTTAAGAAAAGAAAAGATTTGTGTTATCTCATTCATAATACATGGTTTTCCTTCCTTGTATTTATCTTTTCTTCTCATAGCTATTATTAAAATATTGCAATGTGAAACTCATATGATGTAATGAATTATTTTTTTTACTCCTCTGATTCATTAACAACTCAATTTGATATTGACCATTTTTACCCCCTCTCCCCCGTCACAAATCTCGGAAACATCCCCCCCCCCTAAAGTACGTCATACTTTCGAACAAATTAAAAAAAAAATTAACACCTAATTAAAATTTAATATAAAACACACTTCACTATTAAACTGTATTAAAATATAAAATTTCCACTTATAATTATAAGAACTATCACATTATTAAAATGACTTTAATTGTAGAATAGTTAAGTGTAAACAGTTGTCACAGTTATTCATTAAGTATTAACTCAATCTAGATTGAATTTGAAAACAAAAATGGCATTAGAAGTTATGCATTTTGATTAGCAGCAGTAAAAAATTTTTCCTGGTAAATTTTATTCACATATTATTTTTATTGGTAATTTTTTTCTTTTTTCTAGAAAGTTAAATAGAAAAATATAACTAAACTAAATCATTTAATTATTTTCATTCCAAAAAAAAATGTATTAAAATATAATTAATTTATGCTGGGGGTGGGGGAGATGTTTTTAAATTACAGGGGATGCAGTGCTGCTGCAAAAAATTTAAGTATTCCTGCCCTTGAACATTTACTAAGATCATTCAAACCTCAACTGCCAAACATTTTTTCATTCCATCTTACTTCACATGGTGGGCCTAATTCTATGTACATACAGTATAGTCAGAAAGTAGAAAGAATAGTAACATAGTACATAGCCAAAAGCTGTCATAGGCTTACATAGGTGT